TTATTGTATTGTTTTAAAATTGAATGAAATAAAGAATAAAAATTACAGAAAAACTATGTGGCTCTGTGATTTTGCCCGTCACCCCTGCTCCCTGATCAACAAATCTTGATACTCCAGAGTACATATACCGCATACTTACGCCCCCAAATAAATCATTTGGTTGTCCCTGACCGCCCGCTCGTCATTTTTGACCCGCTCGCATTTCTTTCTTTTTTTGTGCGTGAATAATATATATTTTTCGAGTATTTTTAAACGCCAAACAAACCATTGTATTCATGTTGAAAAGATTAAAATACGTCCCGTCGCCAATTTGGTCACTCAGTACGCAATTCTGTCTTTATATAATAAAGTAGAGAAGGGAGTTTTTCGGCCGGGTGGCAATTTTCGGTGGGTCCGTTGTATGCATGGTAAAATCACTTTAAAATACATAGCATAATAGCATATCACACACATACAATACATATCAGAGTCACAGGAGAACCACATTTGCAATGAAAAATGGATAAAAATGTATCCATGTAGCCATAGCAATTCATGATTTTTTTTCTGGGATTCTTTTTGTGTTTAATTAATAATAATATTGGCTTCTTGATTTGAAGAAGAAATGAAAATAAATAGGAAGTAAAGAATCAAAATGAAGAGGGAAAAAATGGAGGGAAAAAAAGAAAAGCAAATCATGAAATGAAAAAAAAAAATCAAAAAAAAAAAAAATCCGCCCGCCCTTCCCTACTCCAGAAAAGCAATCGAGGACAACCATTTTTGTGTTGACCTTAACAAACTCTCTTCCTCTCAGCATCTAAGCGGCGCCCTGTGTCTACCAAAGTAGCTGTCGTAGCAACAAGTCGCCTTCATTTTTTGCGATTGTATGCAGATTCCACAAGAGTTCAAATAAAGTATGTATACACGTGTGCGCTAAGGCGTTACCAGGGGGCACAATGGGAACACGCCAATCACCCACCCCCCCCCCCCCCCCACCATCCCTTGATCGGCTAAACAAATCATGCACGGAACTGAGGGGTTAAAACCTAAATCTCACCCCATCCCGGTCTCGCTAGTAAACTATGTGTCTGTTTGAGTTTGGAGTTTGTATCCCTACCCCTCCCCTATGTGCCCCGCCCCCTCTGTACCCCCACCCCCTTCCTCTGCTCTGTTTATAAATCGGGCGAATCAATCAAGAGTGTATGAGATGGGTAATGACTGTATCGATCATTCAGTACGTTGAACTTGCCATGGAAACGTTCGTGCCATTTATTTAATACCAACTCCATTATAAGATCATGATGGATATGTTTGCATGCTCAGTGAAGTATTTGTCCTACTATACTAATGCTGCCATTGATATTCGTTTAACACGATGTGGTCAGTTATTTGACACTCGATCAGGCTGCAGGATTTCTTACGCAAACATAAACGGCTCTAATGGACATGGGTGTTATATTTTGAAGAAAAAAAAATTGCACTATTAAATTCAGGAGGTTTTTTTTTTTTACCTATGTTTACTTTTTTCAGTAATGTATTAAAAATACATTTTCTCCATTCTAAAAATAACTAATTTTTATTTAATCAAAAGGTAACTGATTGGTATTTGTCCTCTTGAATAGTGGACGTATATTAGTTTTGTACAGGCCACCCCTTCATCTTTCTGGATTCACCATTTACGCCAGTGGTTCCCACATATTTCGGGGCCCTGTTTCATGTTTTCTTGAAGGGAGGAACCATGGACAAGGATAGAATAGAAGGGGAAAAATCTCTAGAGCTAGAAAGAGAGTGTGTGCTAAGGAATCGATGGTGTGGTTTTAAAGCAAAGGACGGTAAAAGAGAAATGGAGAGAGAGAGAGAGATAGACGTGGGAAAAATAATAGGGAGAAGAAGAAGAGAGAAATTGAGATTTTCTTCCCTGGGATAGAATACCCTACCAGGAGCAGCTGGAAATGGAGAGACATGTAGAGAGAAAGGTGCAGGTCATAGACAGACAGACAGGCAGACAGAGGGTGGGAGTCGTTACCACCGTGTCCACATATATTTCTGTAGATGTTTTTTCGTGTTTTTTTCGCTCCCCTCCCCATTCTCTGACTCTATTTTCTCCCTCCTTCTCACCCCTTTTTCTCTTCGTCTTTCTCTCACTCTCTCACGCATAGTTGTCTCTCGTTGTATCTCTATATCCTTCTCTCCTACCTACTTATCTTTCTATTGCTTTCCAATCACCCGTTTTTCTTTTTCTAACCCTCTCACCTTCTCATTTTCTCTATCTCTCTTTCTTATCTCTCTCTCTCTCTCTCTCTCTCTGTCCCGCATCTTTTTCGCTATAATAGTCTCTCCATCTCATTTAGAACTTTCCGTCGGCTCGATGAATTTTGGCGAGGTATGTAAAGTTAGGTTTAATATTTCGGCTGCAGTCCTGATGAAGAAAGGCCCTCTTTACAAAATATCTTGAATATATGTCGAGACCATCTTCCCCCCTCTTGCCGAGTGCAAGGTAAACATGTTTGACAAAGAAGAATTCCAATTACATCATCGCTTGACCGTGTGAGTATATTTCGTCTGTTTACCTACTAAAATCTCAGTTCACTGCTCTATTGTATGAATCATGTTCTTCACGAATTGTTCAATAAAAGGAATATTGACACAGAGCTCACAAAGGAATGTCGTCAAATATTACGAGTAGTTTAAATTGTCAACACTTCTCTATTCTTTATTCACAAAATAATCATTAATCTTCATATCTTACGGATTCGCCTAAAAGGTGCGCCCAATGAAATAACTAAACATGGGGTGTGTCGTATGTTATCTGAGTATGACAAAAATTGTGAATACATTCGCCCATTTATACATTATGTTTTAACAACAAAAAACAAATAAAATGAATTCCTCTACGTCTACGTTGAGACTTGGCAGGGAGTGGTCGTCTATATGTGACGTGACATCGAGCATGCTATAGAGGTAAAAAGGAATGGTATGAAATGGACTAGCTCCAATGAACATGATAAATGACGATCGTTGATGCTGCCTTTTCCAATAAAAGTAAAAATGTCAGTACACAGACAGAAAAGGGGTATTTAAAGGATTCATCAGAACGTGAATGATAAGCAAGATGAATATCAAAATGTTAACACGTCTTTATGTTAGAATTTATCCCAAAAAAAAAAAAATCTGGATTCATTGTCACTTCATACAAAAATAGGCTTGGATTGTACATAAAGTAAGCTACAGCAACTGCCAGTCCATTTAACATCTGGATATTTTGTTACTTCAAATTAAAAAATCTTAGATAGTGCAAAATGTAATCTACAACTTTTGTAAATTCAGTGTAACATCTGGATACATTGTCACTTCAAACAAAATAATCTTGAATAATACATAATGTAAGCTGAAACTTCTGTCAATTCATTTGAACACCTGGATATATTGTTACTGCGAACCAAAACAATATTGGATTGAACATGATGAAAGCTACACTTTTCGTCAATTCTTTTAGGACGATACAAATATTTCATCTTGATTAATATGATGCTGTTTATATTTACAAGTACATAAAAGCAAGATTATAATAAACACTGAACTGCTGTCTTATAAAAAGTAATCAGATATTACTTGAAACATCTAATACAGGTTCAAAGTCCAGGGTTTAATGTTTGTATATTTCTTCTTACATGTCTATTTCATGTATAAAAAAAAATAGATATAATAATTTGCAATTCGATAATATATACAAAAAGTACAAAGTGGTAACAGTACCTACTATTGTCAAATATTAATTAACGTGGGTGGAGAGGCCTAATAAAAAGTGAAGCTTGCATTCATAAATCGATGTGTGGTAAAACCAATTTCGAAAACTGTAGATAAATGAATAAATATTGGAAGGAAACGTGCCTTCTTTAGCATTATCCGAAATTCCAAATACAAAAAAACATATAGACATTTGAAAAAATTGAATGTAAGAGTCACTTTCATGTTATGCAGTTCACCGTTTGCTTACTGTTGTCAGAATTAACATTACCTATATTTATATACCACTTTCAGAATATGGAAAGCCTTTTATGAACAAATGCAACACGAATATGACAGATGGACACAACACAAGTGCTTTTCACGCTAAAACAAAAAATAAAATATTAGTTTTTAAATAACAGCTCTCATACTATTACTTTAAATTTGTTGATGTTACTTGTAAGTCTTAAATGAATACTTTTCTTTTCTACCAGTCTTCCAAATTATACGCATAAACATTGAAATGGTTTAGTTATCTTTAGGCTTCAGTACATCTTGTCTACCACACCATACCAATTACAGTGATATAACCGCACATAAGAATAGTATATACCACTGTCGACTTATGAGCACTGACGAAACCGCAATCTCAATAGCAAATTTTACTGATTTAGACAGTATTAAAAATAAAAAAATAAATAACCTTTGATCCCTGAGAAAAATTTTAATAGAGTTTTACTGTTTTTCTTTGAATAACATTTTCACAGTCCATTTAATCGCATTTTTCTCTAGTATCATGCGAGATTATTTTAAGGAATTAAAAGAGGCATTTGTATTTTAAACACTGTATAATGAGATACGTGCATTTCAACATTTGCCAGTCGTTCCCAAACTTAACATTGCTTTTTTTTACCCAAGGTTCATGTACATATGAAGGAACATATTCATTTTTACGAAAAGAAAAAAGCTCATTAATTAGGCAATATATCCATAATATTTACATAGCAGAACACGAATTAATTGAAAAATTATAGGATGAGACACTAATATAATGATATATGTTAATATTTTATTTAAATCTATTAAAATAATGCGTTTTCAATATTGTGTTCATCTTCCATTAGTGTGCAGCTGATAAGCATGTTTTGCTTTTTCAACAATCAATGTCATGAGTTAAAAAGCTACGTAGATATGTATCGATGTATTATCGTATCGAAAACATTTGCAAGGACAAGCATAAAACTATTATAAAGCATATAAGCATTCAATCATAAACATGTCATTTATCGCGTCTAATAGAAAACATTATCCGCTGGACTATCATTGGCACCCTGCACAGAGCTATCGACATAGTAAATCGTATCATAGCTGATGCCATCTTTACCCACCATTGACACTAAGCGAGAATCCGACGCATCGGTACGCTCTGGTTCTAATGTGTAGGGATTAGACGAGGTCCCATTCTCCGCGACGTCTTCTTTACCATGGTTACCGAGTCCTCCAGACTCCTCATCGATATCACCGATGGGTACGAGCTCACCCTTTCGCGTCTTCTCCTGTTCGATGATATGGACACCATAGTCTTCTTTGTGATTCTTAGCCAATGCGAGACATAATGAGAGGAGGATCAGGAGGAAAGCAATGCCGGCCAGACCGATCCCTACGGATAATGGAATAAGATAAGTTGGGCGTGATTCGGTCCCGGCTTCTGTCGACATTCTGGTCGTTGGGGTCCTCTCTGTTTGTGTTTTCGTTGTAGTTGGAGACACCGTGGTTTGTGGGCTTGAGCTTCCTGTCGATGGCTCGATTGATGTGTCATGGGTGATCGGGGAAGGAGTGGTGGTGGTAGTGTCTGTCAAAATATCGTCTGTCTTCAACGAGAATAATTCTGTTCCTGGGGATATTTGTGAAGATGTTTCTGGTAATGGAGCATCAGTCGTAGTCAGTATATTATATTCAGCTGTAGCTTCATCTGTAGTCGGTGTGGTTGGTGTGAATGAAAATATTGTCGACACAGATAAGGAAACACTCGACAGCGTAGCATCTGTATTATCCGATGTTGAAGGTGGCTGGGTTGACGTTACTCGGGTAGATATTGTGTTTATTGTCGAACTTGTGCTTGATTCTTCTGACTTTGACGGGGTTGACACTGGTGTGGTAGAAAATGGATCGGTTTGAGAGGTAGACACGGATGGAATTGTGGGAGTAGTGCTTACATTCTCTAACGTTGTGGCGGTTTCTCCTGACGTCACAGGCGTTGTTGATACAAATCCTGCTGTTGATGACGTTGCAGCACCTGTCATGAGACCTCCTGAAAAGGTACTGCTCCTATTCATTGTACTTGTACCATCAGCTGAAGTTGTCAAAACTGTCGAGGATGATCTAGCTGGGGTTGATTTAGATTCGGTAGATGTGAGAGTAGTTCCTGTGGTTTCAGCTTCAGAGGACTGGGTAGCTGAAGTTCCAGTTACGGAAGGGGTTGATGAAGAAGAGGATGAAGCGATCAGATTTGTGGGAGAGACTGATGAGTCTGTAGCCATTTCTGTCGAAGTAGCTACAGTTGACGAATCAACTGAAGTTGTAGGTCCTGTTGCAGTTGCATTTCCTGTAGTTTGTCTTACATCCGTGCTGGTTTGTGTAGCGGAGAACATGGATGTTCCATTAGTGGGAGATAGATCTGTTGATGAAAGAACCGTCTGCGTAGGTTCTTGACTAGTACTATTCGTACCGCTGTTAACTATCACCCGAATAACGTACAGGCCTATGAATTCTTCATCGGAATTTGTAAGTAAAACACTGTATGTTCCTTCATGCGACTCCGAAACACGAGAGATGAGAAGTTGCCCAAGGTTATTAACGGAATAAGAACCGACAGTGTCGCCTTTAGAGAGAGAGGATCCATCTGCCGTTACCCAACTAACGTTTATGTTTATTCCATTTGGTATGCGAGGGAAAAGGACATTCATTTGACCCTCTCTTAGGAATAGTTCTTCGGGTAGAGGATTTGCTGTTGAAAGAATAGGCATTGACGTCATCTCAGGGCCATTTTGTGTAGTACTTCTTGATTCCGTCATTTCTGTCGATAAAAGAGGTGTTGAGTTTTCGGTGCTTGTGGTATACATCGCATTACCGGCAGTGGTCAGGGGATTCAAAGTGGTTTGGATACTTGTTGAGTCACGAGATTCAGTAGTTAGACCGGTGGTTGAAGACGGAAGCGGAGAATCAGAGCTTGTATTCGAAGTTGATGTACCTGAAGCAGGCGTTGGTGTTGGCGTCCCAGAATCAGGCGTTGTTACTGTAGGCTCGGAATACTGAACGCGAATTACATTCAAGTCTTGTAGAAACCCAAGTCCATCTGTAACAGATACAGTATAAGTGCCAAGATTACTATTACCAACTGGTTGTATTATCAGTGTTCCATCATCGGTCACGTTATAAGGTCCTCTTGATTCACCCCGTCTTAACGTTATCGCATCTGGTGTTACCCAAAGGACGTCAGTGTTGTTAATGATGGAATACTGCGGATAAACAATTGCTTGAACCCTCTGTGTAAGTATCACGGCAAAAAAGTCTTCGTCTGGTATTTCCGAGGTACTCGTAGGGCCATCGGTAGGTTCATTGTTTGATTCAGTAGTATCAGTTGGCTGCGAAGAACCTGATGCATTCGTACTTGTGTAGAAAGTAGTCGGGTCATCTGTGGAAGATATTCCTCCTAAAGTAGTGGAGTTAGTGACTTCTATTGTCGTCAAGTCAGGAAAACTTGTCGACGGATTGCGAAATTCCACGCGGATGATGTTGAGATCTAAAAGTGTGTTGTCCAATGTCGTGATCGTCGCCGTATATACTCCCAGGCTGTTGTCTTCAACAGGCTGAATAAAGAGATTACCATCAGATCTGACCTCATAAGGACCAACCGTATCGTTTATTGTCAACCTTTCACCATCTGGCGTTACCCAAATGATGTTCACTAGGAGGTCAAGAGGGTACCTAGGTGATAAGATGCCTTGATCTCTGGAATACAAGATGACGGTGAACGAATCCCTATCAGTAATAGCTTCAGTCGTAGTCATTGTTGTGGTTTCCCGCTCAGTAGTCCTGTCTTCGGTAGCTACAGTAGTTGTACTTTCAGTTGAGGTTGTCATAATGACAGTGGTCTTAGAAGTTGTTCGCTGCACTGTAGAAGACGTAAATGGTAAAGTTGTAGATTGTCCTAATGTAATTGTTGTTGGTTGGGTAGTAGGCAACGTAAACACGACGCGAATTACATTCAGATCTAACACGACACCATTGCTGTCTGTTACGACCGCCGTGTAGACTCCAATCAAAGAATCCAAGACTGATTCCACTGTCAAAAATCCATCATCGGAAACGCTGAATAGTCCTATTGTTTGGTTCTTGGTAATACGCGTTGCGTCAGGGGTTACCCAAATGACATTAAGGTTCTGCAGATTGAGATATTCAGGAGACAGCACAACCCTTTGTAAAGATGTTATAGAAACAATGAAATAATCTTGGTCATTAACATTACCCTCTGTTGATGGTAACGAGCCGAGTGTGGTGCTTTCGCTTGAATTAACATTTTCTTCAGTGTTTGATGTTGAGCCAGCTTGTTGTATTGTAGTTCCTTCGGATACAGTAGTAGGCGATGTCATATTCTCACTCGCTGGAGTTACATTATCAGAACTTAGCGTAGTTCTACCTTCAGCAGAAGTTGTTGTCCTATCCGCCTCGGATGCTGTAGTCGATCCTGGTGCTATTTGGACTCTAAAAACTTTAAAATCTAACTCAAATCCAGACATGTCAGTGACGAAGACGACGTATGTTCCAACGTTGACGTCATTCACTGGTCTGATCTGCAAATCTCCTTCTGGGTTAACGCTGTATGGGCCACTCGAGTCGTTTAAAAATAAAATTTGGCCATCGGGAGTTACCCATCGGAAAATAACATCGACTTGGTCTGCAGGTTTAGGTGAAATTAGAAACGCCCCATCTCGATCTACAAGAATGATACCATCAGGATCTGTAGTAGAAGACTTCTGCTCAGTCACAGGAGGTGAGGGAGGGGATATTATTGACATTGTAGGAGATAACGATGGAGGACTTTGAGGAGCTTCTGTATTGTTAGCCCGTGTTGCAGACTCTGTTGGTTCGGTAGGTGCTGAAGTTGACCTTGCACTTGCGAAAGTAACGCGAACAACTGTCGATGAAACTACTACATTACTTAGATTGATTACAGAAATCCTATATATTCCGTCATCGGATTCGATAACAGGATTGATTAAGAGAGTACCATCAATTAACACGGTAAACCTATCAACAGTTTCATTTGTCTCAAGTCGAACTCCTCCCGAAGTTATCCAGATGTAATTGTAATTTTCTGGATATTGCATATTAGGCGAAATGGATCCTGGTGTTCCAGGAACTAGTTCAAAATCATGTGAATCTGTTTGTCTTTGCATTGTAGTCATCCTAACTTCCCTTAAGGTTACAGGAACAACGGTTGATGCCACAACTACATTGCTTAGATCGATTACAGAAACTCTATATATCCCGCCATCGGATTCTGTAACAGGATTGATTACGAGAGTACCATCAACTAACACGGTAAACCTATCAACAGTTTCATTTGTCTCAAGTCGAACTCCTCCCGAAGTTATCCAGATGTAATTGTAGTTTTCTGGATACTGCATATTAGGCGAAATTGATCCTACTTCTCCGAGAACTATTTCAGCATCATTTGAATTCGACTGTGTCTGCGATGTTGTCATCCTACCCTCTGTTGGTTGCACTGTTGGCCTTCGAGTGAGGTCCGCACTTGCACTTGGATATCTATCATCAGTGGTGTTTGCCCGATCAGTAGTTAGCCCTGGCGGAAGTGACAGATCCAATGAAACAGTTTCAGTTGCGACAAAATTCCGATCGGCATCTACAACGTAACACATGTATACCCCGGCGTCTCCTGACGATGCAGTGGAGATTAACAGATCACCATCAGGAGTTACCTCAAATCGTCCGCTTGCCGTGTCGGGATTGACACTACTACCATCTGGTACCACCCATGTTATTTGCCAAACAGGATTTGACCATCCAGGACAGACGAGTAGGACACTGCTGCCGATGAATCCCGTCGAAGTGCACTCAAAATCAGTCGCATTGATCAGGGAGAGCTGTCTGTCGACCACGTTTGCCGGGCTGGCACAGATCATATTCGCGGAGTCCATCGTCGATTTCAACCATTCAATATGGCAGTCGCAGTGTAGCGGGTTTCCTGTAAGATTGATAAGGACTCCATCAATGTCTTTGTTAAAATCAAAGACTGTCCTGTAAAGGGTCATGAGTCTGTTCCCACTCAGATCTAGAATTGATAAACTCAAAAGATCTCCGAAGAGCCGATGAGGGAGAACAGACAACGAATTTGATGCTAGGTTCAGCTCTACTATGTCAGAAAGATTACGGAAGGTATCAGCAGGGAGATACGAAATGGCATTGTCTTCTAGGTTGATAATACGGAGACTCTTAAGCGCATTGAAAGTAGATGCATTCACAAATGCAATGTTGTTGGCTCCCAACTTCAAAACTTCCAGGTTGTAAAGGTTCTGAAATATATCTCCCGAAATTACGTTCAAGCTGTTATCTGCTAAACTCAATTCTACCAAACTAGAAAGACTACCAAACGCATTACTAGATATATTTGACAGAAAATTAGAGTTCATGTACAAGTGAGTGATATTAGATCCCGAAAGGAAGTTGTCGGGCAGGGACCTGAAATTATCGGCAATGAGGTTTAGTCGACGCAGTTTGGGCAGGATTCCTAGGGCGCCCTCAGTAACACGATCAACGGATGTACCTTCGACACTTAAGGACTCTAGCTGAGGAAGTCCTCGGACTAGGCTTTCATCGATCACTGTTAAAGCTTTGGCAAGATAGATTGCTAGGGTATTGAGATTTGTAAGGGGTGAAAAGGCACCAGGTTCGATGTATTCAATATTACGCGAGATCACTTGCAGGAACTCTAAATTCGGGAGACCTCCCAAATCTGCAGCGGAGATGTTCCTTAAGTCATCTGAAATCAAAGACAGTCCATCGGTAGTTTCAGGTATCCAGTCCGGCATTCTTCCATCAGGAAGTGACGGCCGACAGAACAGCCTAAACTCGAAGCATTCGCAAGGTTCGGGGCATGTCTGGCCAGTGACCCCGTTCATGTGTATGATGAGAAGAAGAAACAATGCCTTCGTGAGGATAGCACTACCGAACGTATGCTGCTTCATCCTGGTCGGATTCTGTTACAAAAATAATAAAATGGCAAATCACAATGAATCCATCTTGATTTCAATTGATTCTGAGAGTTCTTACACATATAAACTAAATTGAATTTCCGTATACGGTGTCTTATTTTGCATTACAAACTCCTGGCCCAGTGGATTTGTTGTATTAAAGACAGACGATACACACGTTATTGTATCTCAGATATTGATACATTTTGTTAATATAATAAATATCTTCTATTTATGACTAATACACATGAGATTGAAGGGAATAAAATCGCAATAACAGTAAATCTTGTTTACCCAGGGTAGCCTTCATCAGTATTGAAACTGTTCTCCCTGGGGGTCCTGTATTATTACGAATTGATTACTTTTATTAGACCCAGGGAGTGTTTCACAAAGACCAAGATCGACTTCAAGTTGGACTTAACCATGGCAGGCTGTTCGTGCCACTGTTACCTCTCACCATTATGATCGTCCCTTGAGAGACTAATGCCAATAAATGGTGAGAGCAAACAGTGGCATGAGCGGCCTGCCATAGTTAAGTCCAACTTAAATTCGATCTTAGTCTTTGTGAAACACCCCCACGGACTGCGATTCATCTTAAGAAAAAAATATGTCATAATTAGACAATTTGCATTATTTCCAATGACAATATGCCTGAACATATTTGGTAATTCACTACCTTATGATAAAACTGGAGTAAAAACTACAATTCTCTTATTTAAAGAATATCTTAATGCTGATGATCTGCCATTTACTCTTGTGACAATTATTGCCCCGGACTTTATTTCGTCACAGCTAAAGTGTATTATTATGTTACGGTTGAAATTTGTTATGTTTTGATTACGTTTAGAGTTAGAATTATACTATTTGGTACAGGTTTTAAGTTTGTATAGATAACTGACCGCGGAACAAAATGTCGCCAGAGCATGTGTCGTACAACCATATTTGCTGTCAACGATTTAAATTTGTATACAGGAAAACGGTCTTACCTTCAACTTGTATGTCGATAATGGATTGTTGTCATCAAAATACCGATGCATTAACCAAGCAATTGTTGTCAAGATTCAAGCAGCCGGAGTAACTGCAATAGAAACAGACATAAATATGTGATATGTTCAGCTAGAGTTAACTAGTCGTGTTTTAACTTATCAAAATCCTGATCGCCATCGTTAATGCCAACGTAAGATTAGAGAAAGAAATATGAGAAGGAAGTCAGTAACAATTATTTTATTCTAATACTCCCGACGAAATCTGTTAAAGTTAATGCAAATTTTTTAGGAAATTTTGAAAATTGGATGGATAATAATTCTTTAAAATGTTGATATATTTGGATGCCCCTGTGGATTTATTATAAGCAGTAGAAAATTTAGCCCCTAAAACACTTTCGAGAAATTGAATTAATCAAAGTTTACCGGTGTTCCCAGTAAATTTCAAATATTACAAATAGCGCTGAAGGCCATTCCGTGGTAGCTGCGATCATTAAAATCTCAGGATATGCAGTTATGATATATAATTTCCAAACGGAAATTGCAAATTGGTCAATTGTAGTCAAGAAACATTGTTTTAAAGCTAAAGTTGTATCAGTCTTGAGCGGGAGCTATACAAGAAATGATTTATTTTTTATTTTTACAATTTCATCACTTTAGACTCGATTTCAACCGCGACAACGATCATTGATTATCGTAAAATCGCGCATGCTTTCAATTTGTACATTTGAACCAAATTCATGACCCCATACCAAAACTTTGTATTACCTTTAACTGTATGCTTTAAAAAAAAAATGTTGCCATTCGATTGAAAGCAGTTGATTCTATAACGGTGCCTTACAAAAGCAAAAGAGCTACAGCATTTTTTTAATATTGCCTTCCTTTTTGTTTCACATTTGTAATTTGCGGCATCTGAATTTTCGACATTTGCAATTCAAATATCTTTAAAGATGTTTGAAATGGCCTGAAATAGTATAAAAATAAGTGCACTTCTTATAGAACACAAAGTAAATATGTTTTGTATTAGTAATTTTGATTCATTTATCAAATGTCTCTAAATTATGAATTCCTTGAATATTAGGTACCATATATATAACTTTAGATGGGCCAATTTTTATTTTAAAAAATAATTGTACGAATTCCAATGGGAGCTATATCAAATGTCATAATAACTTATATTAAGACTTTAGTAGCCCTGATAGAAAGTTACAGAAATCCTTTAATAAGACAGCATCACCATCTATTTATCAGATTTAACCATCCAGTTAATTTGTATTTCATATTTACACAAAGTCATAGTTTCACATGAGAAAATGATATTGCAACACAAAGTGAAAAACCCTTAAGCTAGGGCGAAAAGGCATAGCGTGAATTTAAATATGTATATGGGAAAATCATTATAATCTGCCAATTTGAACGGTTTCAAACCATGGAAATGTGAAGTTCCTTTGATTATATTCAATTAAAATGGAGATATACGGGAGATAACATTAAATCCAATAAACCACTTATTTTTTCTACTTTCACACTAATTTTACATTTACTTTTACCCAAAACAGCAACTAATAAATCGCTTTAAAAACATCCTTGGGGTAAGAAGTAATAATTGTAATACTTACATTTTGTATGATTTGTTTGAAAGTTGTTTCCTTGATCAATTTCTATCCTGTCTACAAAGACGTAAAATCCATTAAACGAACCAACAAGTCGATTTCTTTAAGACCTCCACAATAAATGAACTTGAAGCCTGTACTTCGGCGTATATTACTGAATTTTTAAAGGCGTTGTCTTAAGACGAAATTCTACGTTTGCGTTTGTTTTTGTCAATTTTTGTATAGTTGTCATCTTCACGATTGGTCAACATCTTGCGTCTTTGCTTAGAAGGAGGATACAGCAAGAGGTTCAAAGGTACCCTTCTTAATGTTTGCAGTGTTTAGCGTCACAGGAGAGGGTGTGTAATTGACATTACAATGGGGTGAAATATTAAACATTCTTTAATTTCTCCTCTCCCTCTCCCTCTCCCCCCTCTCTCTCTCTCTCTCTCTCCCTCTCTCTTTGGACACACAGTAGAAGACTTCTGCTCAGTCACAGGAGGGAGGTGAGGGAGAGGATATTATTGACATTGAAGGAGATAACGATGGAGGACTTTGAGGAGCTTCTGTATTCGGCGGGGGTCAAGGGGTGGAGCACCCAGAAGCTCAGGGTTTTTAGGTATTTTATAACGGTCAGATGAGCATCCAGGTGCCCCCGGATGCTGAGGGGTTTTAGGCATTTAATCACGGTCAGATGAGCACATTTTGACACCTCATTATTTTGTGACAAAGGCAGGTCACTATTCTTTTTTCCTTCTTTTCTTTTTCCTTTTTCCTTCCCTTTATCTCCTCTTTTCCTTTTGTCTTTACCTTTCCTTCCTTATCTCTTATTCTCTGATAGGGGAGGGAGGTAACCGCTGGGAAGCAAGGCCCTTTCGCCCCCCCCCCCCCCGCTCACGATCTCCTTCTTTTCCCTCTTTTTCTTTTATTCTCCCTCTTCTTTCTTTCCCTTTCTCTCCTCTTTCCCTTTCCCTACTTTTCCTTCCCTCTCTCTCTCTCTCTCTCTCTTCCTCTATCTCTATCTCTCTCTCTCTCTCTCTCTCTTCCTCTATCTCTATCTATCTCTCTCTCTCTTTCTTCTTTTTTTTGCGGGGGGGGGCAAGGCCCGCTCGCCCCCCCCCCCCCTCCCCTGGATCCGCGCCTGCTGTTTCGTCTTCTTCAAGTTCCACTTGATGTATGTCTTTTTGAACTTCTACACACACGCACACACACACACACACACACGCACCCATACACGTGATCTCTTTCGTTTTCATCAGGATCCACTGCATGTATGTCTTTTTGAACTTCTGTGTCTCTCTTTCTCTTTCTCTCTCTCTCCCTCTGTCTTGGCATTTCAATCCTCCCTCCGTATGTGTACCTTTTAATCTTACGCCCAGATTCTCCGATCCCCCTTCTTTAATTGCCCCTCTCTTCGTCTATCTCTCTCTCTCTCTCTCTCTCTCCATTTCTCCTCCTGACCATCTGTGAATTAGATGTATTTACTGCAAATTCAATTCATAGAAAAAATGTTCTGAAAGTGAATTCTTTTTTTGATAATTCAGAATAGCATAGAAATAACAATAATTTTAGAGTGCTTCGATTTCTAGACATCTATTATTACGTCATCAGTTCATGATCTTTTTATTTCAATAAGTACATCCAAAATTGGTTTGTTTCTTTGTTTCCTGGTTTCTACACAGAGAATGAATAAAAGTTTTTGTCAAAGAAGAAGCGATAATAATGATACTAAAAACAACAATAACAACAATAATAATGATACAAATAATAATTAATGCATTTATATAGCGCATTTTTCATGTACATATTCAAATCCGCATTACAATCGTTTGATATTAACAGAAGAGGTGAGTTTTTAGATATAGTTTGAAGGTCTTGTGAGATTCCTGGTTGAGAGGAAATATGGGTAAGTTATGCTACACGTAAATTAAAGGGACTTGATAACATTGTTTAGATGAGAGAAAATGGTGCTAAGGAAGTGACTTCAATGTAAGATGTACAATTGAAGGTAACAACTGATCTGATCAATTCCTTAATTCTCGAACTATATTATTACAATACAATTACATATTAGGTGAATGAAAATCGTCACAAAGCAATGAATAGGCTCTACATACCATTCCAGACATTTAAGTGTTGAAAGATTTTTAAAAGTCTGTCCTATGTCTTATTTTCATGGGAAAATGGTTGGGAAATTTCAAAAATGGTAGGAAGAATTTACTGTTAGAGGGTGTTGCACAGTGACGCCTTCAAAGAAAACCATAAATATCTTTGTGGTTTGAGAATTTGTTCAGGATTGTTTGCATGTTAAAGGGTTAGTACAGTAGAATGAATATAATAAGGAACATTTCATACAAAAATTACGCAGTTTGCTCATCACCCTTCAACAATGTTACCGAGTCACTTTAAAGGAGAATAGCATTGAATAGGATTTCATATCTATACCAATGTATATAAGAGTGTTGATTTGATTTATTGGTTTCTGCATCTTTTTTTTCGTCATACATTTTCATGGACATAATATGGTTTGATACAATATTTCATATGTCTATATACAGAAAATGTACGAAATTATCATTTTGACGATTCCAAAACATCACGATATACACCTAGCTATTTTAGGTACTTCATAATGAACCATTCCAAATTGCTTCTAATGTCTTCCACAATATAACCACATGACTAGGGCCCTATTTTACAAAGAGTTGCGATTGATCCCAATCAATCACAAGTCCTCTAATCAATCGCAAGTCTGCAGTCTCCTATCTCTTATGTACATAGTTGCGATTGGTGTCAATCGCAAACAAGTTACGATTAATATCAACTCTTTGTAAGACAGAGCATGGAACTCAAATTTACTCTTTAAATCACGAGACTAAGGTGACAATGAATACGCAACATGAAAGTCAATAAAAGTTGCAAGAGCTTTGATAATATGTATATTTGACTACTACCGCAGTATTTAATGTATTGACTGAGTTCAAGCTTTGTCGGCTAGAGAGGCGGTGGGTGTGACCCTGATGAGTCATCGTTTGATGTCTTATTATATCACTGTTTATATTCTAAGAATAGGCATGATAGGACACCAGATTACCATCGATAAGTGAAACACAAGAAAAGAAGAAGAAGAAAAAGAAGAAGAAGAAGAAGAAGACACGTCTTTGCAGCTTAGTGAAGAACCACTTTGGACAGCAAAATATGACAGAACCGTTTTCAAAATCACTAACGAATACGTCGATTCATTATGAACTATGATGTAAATCGCAGATGAATTGAAGTACGCCTACTGTGGAAGAGACGATAACATATCGTACTTTGTTATCGTGTGTTTGGGTGTTGTGTGGGGCGGGGGCAGTAGGTGTTCTTTTTATCTTCTTTCTTTTTTTTTGAAATTCTTTTTCTTCTTAATCATATTTCTTTTTTGTCACATTGTATGAAAATGTTGAAGTTCACTTGCAAATTTATTTAGGCCTCTGTGAAGATTATCTGTAATTTTGTATAAAATGTTATAAATTATATAAAATTGTCTTGATGAGAGAAGAGAATAAAAGCCTATGAAGAAAAAAAATATCATTAAGCGCAAAATATATTACCATCTTTCCGCTGACAACATTACATGTTTAATAATACATGTACATAATAATTATTCTAGATTAAGCTCTCTGAATCCATAAATTCTTTCAGAATTAGTTATTAAAATATATAATATCTTTATAAAATCTGTGTACATCATGCATGAAAACATAGCATAGAATATTATGGTTTTACCAGATATGACAAGATTTTTTATATAAATCACATCAAATATCACCTACAGTTTGGCATAACGTGGATTATCATATGCATAATGTCTATAAATATTCATTATCAATATGGATGTATGACTTAACAAATATAATGTGTACGAGATCGTTTTAGGGTGACGATTAAATATATCTAACAATCACAATTTTCATTAAAAAAATTATTAAAAATGCGCAGATGTAAATTATGGCAAAATTAATGTGCATATACACTGTGAAAATCTGAAGCATATCTCCGTTTTTCATCGATATTTTTATCTGGATTAGTCTTGCGGCAACAGCAACAACTGCTGCCTTGAGGATGAACTCCAGAACAGTTCTTTTCAGGGCCAAAGACCATGCAAAGGGACATAAAGAAGAACGTCCCGTACGCCCAGCTCACGCCCATGATTAGCGCGAGGAAGACACCGATCTGTTGGTAGGAGAGAACAGTAGCCGGAAGCATGCAGACACCTGCCATGAGAGTGGACAGTGCAGCAGTGGAAATGGCGGCCGTCAACTGTTTCATTGCATGCACTGCTTTAGAGACGCGGTCACCAGTTGGTGCTATCCTGTAGGCAACACCGTAATGGATGGTGAAGTCGACGGACAGACCGACAGCTAAGGACATGATGGTGGATTCTAGGATATTCATCTCCCATCCGATGAAAACAAGAGAACCTACAGTTACAAATACCGTTCCTGATATGGATAGAATGGCAAAGAGTGTGATGAGGAAATTCCATGTAGTGAGGAGAAGCACCAAGGCTGCTACTCCAAGAGACAAGCCGATGGAAAGGGGGAACCCTGTGACAAGACTCTGCTGAAGATCAAAGAAATACAGCTGGTTGTCACTGAAGCTTACGAACCACCCGTGGGAAATAGATTCTGGAGCTTTGTCCATCTCCTGCCGACTCCATTGGTTTATCTCGCTCCAGAATTCATTGATGCTCTCATAGTTCAGTGAATACCTTGTACTACTTGTGAATGAGAGCAAGAGACCGGTTAGCTTCTGTCCTTCGCCAAATCGAGTCAAGTGCTCTAAACCTCCCAGTAACACAAACATGGAAGCGCATTGCTCGAAGAGTTCTGGATCGTAGGGGAAGTCGTAGTTCTCGCAGCAGGGGGAAACATCACGGAAATAGACGGGACTGTCACATGGAGATTCCATCATGAGTTTCTTGAAAACATCGATGAAGCAGAAATCTTGGATGTTGCTTTGTGATGAGTAGAATGACTGATTTTTAACATCGGAGCAGAAGTTCAGTAGCCACTCTTGGGACTCGGGAGCTGAGATATCAAACTTGTTGTCCAATACGAGGCTACCTCTATCATCTGGATCCCACGAATTTCCGTTGTCTTTCGATTCAAGCCCCCATACAAACTTAATCGGCATCTTGCTTTGCACTAGCTGCTCAAAGTCAAAGTAGTTTACGAATACCTGGTCGTATTGCTCGAGGAAATCCGATTTTACAAAGATCTGGAACTCTGATTGCGTAGGGAGCTGCAGCGTCGGGTATACGAATATGGCACAACCGCCCCCTATGCCGAGCAATGTAAACGCGATCAGCCAAACATAACGGAGTTTGAACACAATCTCGGGAAGAACCTTTTCAAAGAAGTGACGAGACACAGTTTTTAGAGCCTGTGCAACTACTCCAAGACGTGAACACTTCAATACCTTGCGGTTGCGACATGTCTTAAAACTTAGGTATCTTTCTTCAATAATGACAATAGCAGGGAGCCATGTTAGAGTAAACAAGAAATTGAAGAGAATGGCGCATCCGGAATAAACGGCAAAGCACTTGATGGCTGTGATTGAGCTGGTGATACTAAAGAAGAGCGCTGAGGACGTCGTGAAGCTTGTGACAAACATTGTGATGGCTGCATGATGCAAGGTCTCCTGAAGGATTCTGACCATGTTCTCTTCCCTGTCACTGTACTTCTCTCCAAATTTCCGCCAGAGATCCAAGTAGACAAAGGTGTCGTCGGCACCGATGCCCAACACAAGTATGACAGCCAAAATATTGACGAACGGAAAGAATGGTAGCCTGATAATCACTAGGTAGACGAAATAGGACATCACCAAAGCCATGGCCATGTCAAGGATGGTTAAGAGGGTAATGAACAGTGATCCGGTGTAGAGCCAGATGATGAACATAATCACACCAACTGCTATACCGACTAGCACTATGTCTGAGATCAGAAACGAGGAAAACAGATCGAACTTAAACTGACCACCGATGGCGCTGATCTTCATGAAGTCGTCGTGGAGATCCTTTCTTCCCTGTAATCTATCGGTGTACAACTGACCGGTTGTGTCGCTGAACCCAGATATAGGGGAAATCATTAACGTAAAGGAAATCTCTAAATCGCCACTAGCGATCTTGGATGCGGACTCTGACGGCAGCAGGTAGTGGAAGATGTTGTACGCCGCGTTTCGGTCCTTGCACTTTCGCGGCACCGTCGGGCACGAGGAAGAGGCGCAGTTGGACAAGAGACTTCCTTCTACGTAATGTGGGGCGCATTCGGTGAGGAGATTCACCAAATGTGTGACATCGTCTTCGGTGGTGTCGAAGCAAGAGGGTTTGTTCTGGAGAAGGGCCGCGTACTGTCCCAGGGATGCAGGGTGGCAGTTGGTGGGGAGGCCAGTGTCGTTGGTGCGGACGTGCTTATCGTACAGCCGACACATTGACTGGAAGGCATCGACGGAAAAGAGGTTTGTCCGTGCGTTCACGACTGAGAATACGATTCTTAAGTTTATCCAATGTTCACCTGTGAATGTGAGAACATGAAAAGATAAAGAATCGTGACAACATGGCGTCATTGATAATGGCGTCTGTGTGTTTCTAATTCACTGTCTTTATTGATATTTATCACCAATGCCACTATAGTGCACTGTTTTCCAGCTTTTCTACACGGGACAAAACAATCATGTAAATTTATTCCGCTACTTGTTGGCCTGTTGGCCGAGTCTTTTATGGTCTGATTACTCATTATCAATGTAGATACCTTCTATGAACGTAATGAGAAAGCTGGGTTTCTTAAAGTACTACACGATACATAGTTCTACATGAATACATTATCATGATCATTTAGTAAATATTATGATAATGAAAATGTCTACTCAGGGATGCCTCATCACCAACTACTCCCGTGGGCCCTGTAATTACTATTACCCCTAGCAATTGCTAGACAACCATTTACATCTGCTAGGAGAGTGGCAAAATATGGACTGATGTCTTGCCAAATGACGTTAGTGCCGAGTGGATAAATTATGTCACCGGACTGTGGATCACAAGTTCCGCGGTTCGAGTCCCGCCGCGGCACTAATGCCCTTTGACTAGACATTAATCTACATTTGCCACATTCAACCCAGGTGAGGTAAATAGGAACCTGGTAGGATTATTCCTTGAAATGCATACGCAGCGCTGATAACGGCTGCCGGAGCTATGGTAATAATTAGGAAAGCTCTTTGGAAGCGAACAGAGACGTTATTTCATAATATATTATGCGCTATAAAAGAATTCAATATCATTATTATTTACCTGGCTCAACACAAGACTGTACTTGCTCTTCATCAGTCACATAGTCAATGAAAGTCATCTCTGGAGTTGTCCTATCTCCATCTTCCCCAGGCGATGTTGTCGCATTCGTCATCGTCGTCAGAGTCGATGTCCTATTACCAAGCACACTCCTCTTTGCCAACGTATCATGGTATATGGTATGGAAGTTCTCGTTATCAGTGATTCGGTTGAAGAGCTCAAGACCCGTGAGACGATCTCGAATCTGGGTGTGCCGTGACTCGAAGCCCTGTAATAGTGTGGTTCAAGATTCAAGGTTTAGTTGTTTCACTCATCAATATAAAATGTAATGCAAAATAGGTCATATGAGTAATATTAGTATAAACAGTGGAAAAAATTGAGAGGAAAGATAGGGAACAATGATTCAGGGCGAGGCCTGGAGGGGTAGGGGGCATTGATCAACAAAATATTACCCTTAATATGGTAAAGAGAGAGAGAGAGAGAGAGAGAGAGAGAGAGTGTGTGTGTGTTGGGGAGGGTAGAGAGGGGGGGGCAGAGAGAGAGTATGTGTGTATGTGGGGGGGGGGCAAGAACAGTTATGTCCGTGCTTAAAGGGAAATCCAACCAAAATAGAAAACTACACTAAAAGAAAGCAACAAAATCGGAGAAGAAAACTGATGGAAGTTTTAACTAAATCTGACTAAATATGTGCATTTTCAAAATGTGTAATCACTATACGTATGGGCACTATAAATTGGCTGAAGCTGTAGTGTCAATGTGATGTAGTGCCAAACTACTGTCCCATCTGTTCCAACATATAAAATTACTAAAATTTAAATTTGTTGTTGCTCAGGAGGGTCTTTTCTTTTTCGAGGAATTATAATAATATGCAATCTATAATATATTTTGAGTAATGCCCTAAACAAACAGAAATTAATGATATTTGTTTACACGGCAAATGGGAGAGTTATCCACTTTGTCCTACGTTACAATCCACTGACCGAACTACCAATTGAGATTCGCATAGACCCAATGATCTCATATTTCAAACATTCATAACTTCCTTACTATTGGTCCGATTCATTTCAAACTTTTGCCATTCTGTTTAAGTTATTTTTCTGCTTTCATACAAATCAACTTATCACAAAGGTTGGACTGCCCTTTAGGAAAAGAAGAGGCAATGGCAAGCGAGGTCAAGCGAAACTTACTTTTTCAGGATCGTCAAATTGTGGAATGTCGTAAAGCGTAAAAGCGACAGCACCAGCAGCGACTGTCAGCAGCAGAATGGCCACGCAGAATAGAATTGGAAAGCGAACGATGAACTTCGAGTACCTGAATATCGGCCAAAAAATGTACATATATTATCAAGTAAATTATTAGTTGCCATATTGATAACAAGAAATAGCAAAAGAATAATAGCTTCCCCTAAATACCTTGATTGTGAATTAATTTAAGCCAGGCACATGTAGAAAATGAATGCAAAAAAAAATATCCTAGTGCAGCAATTATTGTGAACATTGGTGAATACAAATTTATTTTTGTCTGTCTATCGAACGACGATTTGCAAGCCTGGGAAATATTTACCATATATTTGAATAATTTCTTGTTTTTCTATTGAACATCTTTTGAAAGCCCGGCAGACGCCTTAACAGCGAAAAAGCAAGATCAAACATAATCAAAACAACTTACCAAAACCAAAATCCCGAATTCAGTGCTGCTTCTGGTTCCACTTTTTCTTCCACATTTTGATCCAGAGTTGTTTTAAATTCATCTCCCGTGGGATAGTAAGCAGAGTTGGTTATTCCATTATTCATGCCCAATGCGTAACTATCATGCGGCATCACGTCCCCGTTCATATCATTGCGGACGACATCATATACCACGGGGTACATGTCAACGTCGATATGGAAGCCAAGATCGTTTGGGTGAAATTGAGTTCGACCGTCTTCGTACGGATCATGCTTGTCGTCAACGGATCGGTCGAAGACAGATGCGGTTGCCCGATGCTTGCTTACTGCGTCACTTAACGCCGACAACGTTCTCGACTTTGAATCCTGAGACGATGGCGGATGACCGATGTCGACTCTGAGGCTATGGTCGGTAATGCCATTCATGGAAAGACGTCTTCCTTCTCGTTTGCGCTTACTCCTGGACGACGACGACTGCGCGTTCGACGTTGCCTGTCCGCTATGCCATTGAAAGCGACGATGATCACGCTCAAAGCTTTTCGAGTTCGAGCTGTGCTCGTGATCGGGCGATGGTCCCAAGGTGTAAGGAAGATCTCGTACGAGGATGAATCCATTATCCTCTAATTGTCGCCGATTTAAATCTGTACATCATGTAAATAGAGGAAAATCAAAATATTAAAAGGTATACCAGTGTACATGATTATTAAGATTGGGCAGTGGATACAGATGTATAGAACTGATGGTATAGAATGAGAACATTATGCCAATAAATTAAGGCTCGTTTAGATGTGCCGCGGTAAAATAAAATGCGGTGTCCCCCCCCCCCCCCCCTTTTTTTTTTTGCGACGGCGTACTGCGTCATATATGAACGGCGGGAAGGGAAAGAGGAAAGAAGAAGAATGAAGATGAATGAGCAGTAGAGACTAGGGAGAAAAATAGAAAGAGAAAGGAATAGTGTCATCTACAAAAGGGGAAAATCAGATATTGAATGAGAGGGAAAAGAAGACTGAAAGGTCAAGGTAGGGGTTCGGAAGAGAGAGAGAGAGAGAGAGAGAGAGAGAGAGGAGAGAGAGTGTGTGTGTGAGAAAATATCTTTCTAGAAGAAAGTGATCATGATAATGAACGAAATGTTTGAGTCTGTTAAATATCAATGATAGAGACCTATGCGAGTTATTATGGAATGACAGCAGAAAAAGACATCATACTTAAAGATAAAGTTGAGTTCTGGTCATGCGATAGCATTGTGAAAGAAACAGTATAGAACCGGTCAGAACAATATATTCATGTAGCATATAAGTATTGATGTGTACTGAAAGGTTCTAGGGTCATCAAAATGAAAAGAAATTTGGAAAGTAACAAGCACTGTAAATAGAAAGATGTATATGGGACTGCAGGGGCGGTCGAGCGACTTCCAAAGTGGGGGGGGGGGGCACCAACAAAAAAGGGCACTTTCTGAAGAAAAAAGGGCACCTACAGTGGGAAATCTCAAAGCGAAAATATACAATTTTTTAGACATTGGTACATACCCCTGCATTGTGATTACATTATCAGGGATGATTTCAATATTTGTTTCTCTTCATACATCATACAAGATATCGCTTAAGCATCATACTTTACAGTTGGGTGGGATGTCTGAATATGCATTTACGAGCGAGCGAAGCGAGCGAGAAAAATGTTAAAGATCTGCGAGGTCGCAGTGCGAAAAATTACATCTTATAAAGAGGAAAAAAGCCAATCGTGATGGGGTTATAAGCACATTCTCTTAACGGAAGACTGAAAAGACCTTTGATAACTAACATAATTATATCATCTTTAAATGCGAGCGAGCGCAGCGAGCGAACTTTGGGGGAAATTGCTCTTAGTCGCTTTAAATAAGGGGCATGTTTAATGATTTCATGAAAAGGGGACAATTATCGAAAGGGATAAGACACTTATTAGAAAAGAAAAGGAGCACGTGTCAAAGTACAAAGGATAATTATAAGAGGTGAACATGAGGCATTTTTTTCACCTGAAAAGAGGCACTCACCTGATGAAAAAGAGGCGTTTACGAAAATGGGAAATAGGCATTTGTTGACGGAAAAAGGGCACCCATCAGATTTTGATAGGGGCATTTATAAGAGGTGAAAAGGGGACAGGTCCCTTATTAGAAAGGAAAAGGGGCACGTATCATTATTAAAAAGGGAATTATCAGAGGTGAAAAGAGGCACTGACCAGATATGAAAAGGGGCACTTATGAAAATGTAAAAGGGGCACTTATAATAAAGGAAAATGTGCATTTGTTGAATGAAAAGGGGGCACCGTTCAAATTTAAAAAAAGGGCCGTTATGAGAAGGGGAGGGAGTTTTTTCTTTTTAATGGGGGCACTTATCATAAGGAAAAGGGGCACTTATTAGAAAGGGAAAGCGGTAGTTATGAGAAGGGGAAGGAGCTCTCTCTTTTTAATGGGGGCACTTATCATAAGGAAAAGGGGCACTTATTAGAAGAAAAAAAGGGGCACATGTTAAAATTAAAGGTGTGCTCATCCGAGTTTAAAAAAGGGGTAGTTATTAAAAGGAGAAGGGGCACTTCTTACAAAGGAAAAAAGGGGCAGTTGTCAAAGTAAAAGGAGCACCTCTCAGTTTTGAATAGGGCAATTATCAGAGGTGAAGGGGGCACTTATCAAAAGTGAAAAGGGGCACTTCTCGTACCTGAAAAGAGGCACTTACTAGAGATTAAAAAGGGCACTTATTAAAGATAATTTCAAGATTTATGAGAATGGAAAATGGACACTTATTGCAAAGGAAAATGGGAACATGTCGAAGGAAAAGGGGCACGTGTCAAAAATAAAAAGGGCACTCGTCAGAGGTGAAAAGGGGGAAGGGGCACTTTTATTTAGTAATAGGGGCACTTGTCAAAGTAAAAGGGGCACTTTTCCTATGTAAAAGGGGCACTTCTTACAAAATAAAAGGGGCACTTTTCCTATGTAAAAAGGGGCACTTTTGGGGTATCTGAAAAAGTGGGGGGGGCACTGTGCCCCCCCTGCCCCCCCGGGAGAACCGCCTCTGTGGGACTGCACAAACATGTGGCATTAAAATTGGGCTTCATTTTTAAGCTGTTACTGTCATGTTTAGAATATGAAGGCATTTGAAGAGCCATGCTTTTCATGTCTCTTTCTTTCTTTCTCTCTTCAACAATGGCCTAGGTGACTTGAAAACACTCTTCAAAAGAATTACTCAAGAATTTCAAATTGATACAATACCAGCGTCCATAGGCGCCGGAAGTGGGGGGGGCAGGGGGGGGCAGTTGCCCCCCCCAGTCAAAAAAGTGGGGGGGGCAAAACGCATTTTTGCCCCCCCAAAACGCCCCCCCCCCCCCCCCCTCCAAAAAAAAAAAAAAAACAGTAAAGGAGTACATGGTTTGTATTTTTAATCCAAAAGAACGAAACAATAATAAAAACCTGAATTAAATCACATATACAATTCCATTCAAAGAAAAAGGAAAGTTCACAGGAATTAAATTTCATAAACATTGCGCATGCCACCTATACGGTATTTATCAATGGAGGTCTCTATAATAGCGATACGCGCATATCGTGGACATATTGTGCGAGAATGGGAAAGCGTGTCCGCTTCTTTTGTTATAGGGGTGAGAAGACATGAGCCCCTGAACGCTGGCGTACTGATGGGGGGGGGGGGGGGTGATGTATTTGTTATTCGAAACAAGTGATTTACAAATGTTGATGTTGTGACATGATTTTCCGGCATTTTTTCTCCATTTTTTTTGTAAGTCATACCTTTTTATGCGTTTGTTGGAAAATAAGAAATTCCCAAATTACAGTCAGGCGAAATACGCTTATTTACAAGCCTTTATGTCATGGTCTGCAAAGTGGCGGGGCCCACCAAGGGATCTAAGGCGGGCCCTTGGATGCTCATCTGACCGTAAATAAATACCTAAAACCCCTGAGCTTCCGGGAGCTCTGCCCACTGGACCCCACCAAGGGCCCTAAGGCGGGCCCCTGGATGCTCATCTGACCTTAATTAAATACCTAAAACCCCTGAGCTTCCGGGGGCTCTGCCCCCTGGACCCCACCAAGGGCTCTAAGGCGGGCCCTTGGATGCTCATCTGACCGTTATTAAATGCCTAAAGCCCCTGTGCTTCCGGGGGCTCTGCTCCCTGGACCACACAAAGGGCCCTAAGATGGCCCCTGGATGCTCATCTGACCGTAGTTAAATATTGAAACCTCTGAGCTTCTGGGGGCTCTCCCCCCCCCCTTGGAACACGTCAATTGCCTTACAGAGGGCCCCTGAATGCTCATCTGACCGTAATTAAATACCTAAAACCCCTGAGCTTCCGGGGGCTCAGCCCCTTGACCCCCTGCCGAGGCTCATGCCCTGGACCCCACGCCAATTTACGCTCTACCTGATCGATAATACTCCACTTTGAAAAACGTTCCGCGGGACCTGCATGTAACGTGTAAGACTGGTGGTGATGCAGATTTTTCGTCTGCCCCCCCCCCCCCCCCCCTTCCGATTTTTTTTTTCTCATTACGTCACTGCCCCTGGAATGTGAGCCCCCTGGAATGTTTGCCCCCCAATCCCAAACTGCTTCCGGCGCGCCTGCCAGCGTCCTCTTTCGCCTCCTCTGTCTTTTTCTATTGTTATGCGTAACAGCGTTGATAATGGATCAGAAACCCACAAAAGACATGTATATACACGACACAATGAGAGATATTTGGGCTGATGCACTAATATGAGGATATTTTTACAATTGAAAAGGTTGCTAGCAGGACTTGCTAGACATACCGCTTTTGCTCATAAATCTGTTATAATTTCTCATTCCCTCTTTTCATGAAGTGTGTGACAATATGTTTTTTCTTGATAACAGTACCTTCTCAGAACTTTAATTGATCACTTCAAGGAGTCGAAGAGATTGATTGTTAAACTTCTGAGAACATATGGACACGAATTTATCCCGAAACAACCATTGTCAAAAACCATTCAATACAATGAGGTAAGAAAACAATAATTCCAACTTTATGGGCAACATTGTATATTATTATGCTTTATATACGGGTGTTACATGTATATCGATCTTCTGACATATTGTTTCTCAACTGCCAATGTTTGAGTATGCCTACATAAAACTTTCCTCGGAACTTATTTTCAAAATGTAGGACTACATATTATTAAAACTTATAAGCTTTATGAAACCTGTGGAGCGTGAAGAAATATCAATATATATATATATTTTTTTTGGGGGGGGGTGGAGGGGGGGGGGGCAGAGAGTGTGCACAATATTTCAGTATGTGCAACAGCGAGCCCGGCAAAACGACTGTTAAACTTTTATGTGATTTAAAATTGTACATACATAATGTACAACCTAATCTGTATATACCTTTATAAATGACTTGGACTGTGCTGCTGATATATGGTAGGGAAATTTATGCAGATAATCTGATGAAATTTGTTTTAAAAAAATGAAGACTTGAAGTGTTCAAATCTATGATTTCGATAGAAGCTGAATTGAAATAAAGGGATGAGAAAACAAGTAAATACAGACAAACATGAGGCCTATAGTGCAATAAGAAATGGTAAAGAGTGAGCGAAAGAGAGAGAGAGAGAGAGAGAGAGAGAGAGAGAACGAAAGAGGTGAAAGAGTGTTAATTAAGGGAGAGGGAGAGAGAGAGAGAGCGTGAGAAAGAGATAGAGAGGAAGAGGGAGAGGGGGATAGATTTCTAGATTTCTTACACAGCAGGCCATGAAATTTTCTCTTTTGTGTTGGCTTGGATAGAACCCCCCCCCTCCCCCCTCCCCCCCCCCCCAATCAGAAAAAATAGTCATTAATAACAATGCACACATCCATAGTTTGAAAACGTTCTCGGACTTAATTGCACAAGTATTATAAATGGAAATACAAGTCAGAATACTATACAGTATAGAAATAAATGTTTTATTTTTATTTTTTATTGTTTATAATTGTTTGATACCATGATTTTTTTCGTAAGGGTATATATAGCACGTGGTATGAAAAATGAAAAGTAAAAAATAATAAGTAATAAACCTTACCTTTTGTCATCAAGACATTCTGGTTTCCATTGCGGCTTTCCTCGTAATATCGAGAAACATAATTGACAACCGCTGTAGAATCCTTGCTATGGTAGACAAACATTTTGACAAACCAATTCCTAGTTTACCGAAAGCATAATGGTCGTTTGTACTTTTCTATTGCAGTAGTTTTCAGCCTCGTAATTTCACACTATTCTGTATTACATTTGCAAGAAGCATTGATCTACAGAGTCGTTTATTATAAATTATGTTGCCATTCAATCGTCGCTAAAGGTTGCTCTTGAAAGTCTACACTCGATAGTAATGATTCAAATAAAAAGAGTACATTTATCACTCTATGTATGATAACATTGAAGATGAAGATGATACTTTCCTGCCAATCTACTCGTCCGTTTTTCTGAAAGAATTCTCTCCCAAAATGTCCTCGTATCAAACTGAGTTCTTATATAATGATCCTTATAATGACAAAATTTTTATAAATCCTCTCCATGTCCAACTGGCGAGCTAGAAAGCATGATATACGACGGTCACCGCTAAAAATAAATTCACGCCGTCATCGTTTGCAAATGAAAGGCCATCAAAGTTTGTACACTCTCTAGCAAATATTGCAATTACGTAATCAAAGTCTCGTGAGGCCAACGCCTCATGTATAGCATTTCTTCCACGTCCAATGTGCATGCACGCCCATTTTGAAATTGGTGTGCTCAAAATTATGGTAACACGACAGACAATTTATCACAAATAATATAATTAATGTAACATTTAAGACCGACTGAGAGAGAAAAAAGAGACTGACAGAGAAGTAGAGAGCGGGGGGAAGAGACAGAGAGAGATACAAGGAGAGAGAGAGAGAGAGAGAGAGAGAGAGAGTGAGAGAGAGAGAGATAAGAAACAAGAGAGACGTAGAGACATAGAGAAAGGGGAGGGAGGGAGCGAGGGACGGGGGAGAGAGAATGTAAATAAGTGTTATTTGACCATTCACTTGGCTTAACAATCAACGAGTGGACAAAGGGGTCGATGATCCTTTTGTTATTTTCGACTTCAACGAACTTTTTGCAGCCACTCTCCCCCAGCACTGAGCACTCCAGCAGCCTGCTCCATCACTTGCATCCCTATATACCGCCATGTCTCATGATTCCGACGGCCCACGAGACCAACAGCCACAAGACACTGACAGCCTTGAAGACCAATGGCCCACAAGACCGATAATGTACCGGTCTCGGAACTTCGATCAGGAAAGCTGCTAAAAAAAAAACCTCGAAAGACCAACATTCCGACCGTTCTTTTGCGAACTTTCAAATCATTATTTTTTTCTTCAAAAGGTCCATCGTCAGTCGAGTATGGTTTTCAGCCTCACGAGTAATACATGTACAAGTAAATACTAATAACAACATTTTATAATTCGCATAATATCCACCCAAAGGGATGCTCAAGGCGCCTTAACAAATTTGGGAAATTATTTTTAGCCATATAAATTATAAGGCTAAAAATAAATGATCCATTCTCTAGCTGTACATGTTGCCATTACGGCGCTCTAGCATTTCAAGGAATCAATTCCTGCCAGGTACCCATTTACATCACCTGGGTTGAGTGTGGCAAATGTAGATCAATGTCTTGCCAAACGACATTAGTGCCTCGGTGGGACTCGAACCGCGGACCTAAATGTGATCGAATATGCGGTCCACAATTGGTTCTATGTCAATGTCAACGAACTTTTAAAAACCATTGACGTAGTGTGAATCTCGCAATTGAGGAAATACCGGGGGGGGGGGGGGGTAACTTAATGTCCCCTGGGGGTGTTTCACAAAGATCCTAAGTCGAACTTATCTCTAAGTAGGACTTAAAAATTATGGAGAGCCATTAGCATCATTAAAAATATTTTGTAAAAATTATTTTAAAAGGCATAAAATGTTGATTCAAATAATTCATATTTTCTATTATTTTGGGAGATTTCATGTTCTTGATGCGGAATTTATGAAAAGTCTAAAATACTTGAAATTTTGATTTTTAATATATTTCAAAATAAGGCTACAATCGGCTCTCCATAATATTTAAGTCCAACTTAGAGTTAAGTTCGACTTAGAATCTTTGTGAAACACCCCCCAGGCCTGTAGCTAATAAGCCAATGTTTGAAACTAAACTTTCGTTGCTAAATCACACCGTACCGCCCGAGGACGTCACCTCTTGAAAGATGCTATACAATGTTTATCTGAACTTAAGCCGATGGGTAAATCTACATTTCTATTGGGCCGCACCTTATAGGTCCCTGGTTAAACCAACAGGGAAGACAGGTACAAGCCACGGAATGACAATGGGCGTGATGGATATGTTTTAAGTCTTACGCGATCGCAATGACGTTCGAAAATCAACTCAAGGACGATTACATTATCCTATTTTTAAATCCCATGAAAATCATGTTCAGATTAAATTTGTTCGGATACTGTTTCAGGGGCGGATCTAGCTTTTTGCCAAGGGGGATGTTTGACCCAGGATTTTCCAAAATTCGCGCCGTTTTACTGTTTTACTCTTTGTTTCTTCTTTTTTTCTCCCCCCCCCCCTCTTTTTTTCTCACTTGGCCGCCGAAGGGGGGGGGGTTGTTTAAACCGCCAACACCCCCCCCCCCCCTAGATCCGCCCATGTGTTTTGCGGTGTGACTGAATAAGAAGAAATTTGTCGTAGCTCTTTCCCGCACTTTTTTTTTTACTTCTTATTTCTATGTGACGTAATTATTCGTGCCCTCTCTCTCTCTTTTGGGATAGGATGCATGGCGGCGTTCAAAGTCAAATAAAATCAATACTCGACAAAGCTCTTAGGGTGAACATTTGTTATTTTCTTCTTGTACTGAGGATATTTTATTTCTTTTTTTCTTTCACTCTCAGCAGAACTCGATACTATCTCAAATTTTTCCCAATGCCATCTAATATCCCCCCTCCCCTCTCACACTTTCTCTTTCCCGTTCCCAGGACAAACGACCATACCCGCCTTACGCCTGTTTAAATGAGACTTGACATTCAAAACAAAAAAATACTACAGACATATAAAGTTTATTGTGCCTATATGCACATTAAATTGTGCTTTAATCTGTATAAATACTAGAATAAAATAGAATAATTTGCATGATAGAAAACGAATGTCAGCGAAGGCATTAACAGTATGAGCATCAGTCTCCAAAACTTATTTATCAGTGTAGCATTTTACCTCATTTCCCGTCCCTTAACCCCCCCCCCCTCCCCTCAGCGCTTGAGGGGCTATCAACATATGAATTTAATTTGCAATGAACACTTTCTTTTTTTTAGTTGTCCGGTTCCACTAGGGTATTTATGATGATTTTATAGCGTACTTAATATCTTGACCATGAGAGGGCGCTATACAGCATAAAGAGTTTATTATTTACAATCTCATAACTTTAGACTCGATTTCAACCGCGACAACGATCACTGAATATTGTAGGATCACATATGCTTCCAATATGCTCCTTCGAACCAAATTCATGACCTCATACCAAAACTTTGTAGAGACCAATGGTAGTAAATGGTGACAGCAAACAGTGGCATGAGCGTCCTGCAACAGTTAAGTACAACCTAAAGTCGATCTTAATCTTTGTAAAACACCCCCCCCCTAGGGTCCTATCGGGTTCCTTTCAAATTCTCTCTCCCCCCCCCCCCCCCCCCCCCCCAGGCCGTTCAAGTGAAAGGGGTGTGTCTAGCATGCCCCGTAGCTATGCCACTGCTTATAATCAGGTAGTATCAACATTTTACGAATGATTAAAGGCTTGTTCAGATATGATGTGGTAAACTGCAGCAAACAAAAACATGGCAACTCTTTTTAAATGTGAATTAATGGCAGCTGTCCGCAACAAAGGTTCTGCGCATATATATTTACTGAGTTCTGTGTTATAAGATACAGAAATGAGATGCGTATTAGTTTACACCATGAAAATGAAAAACGCCATCGTTTTTCGGCATCATATCATACATGAATTGTGATTACCAAGAAAAACATAACGAAAGTCTCTAAATGTAATAATCTTAAGGCAAACTTTTTGTAGACAAATATATCAATACACATGTAGTACAAGAAGATTTCCTCTTCTCAAGGGAGTCTAATCAATACAAAAATAAATGAATAAAATACATCAAATCTAATTTCTTTGTCATCTCTGTATTTTCCTATTAAAAAAATATTGCAACATCCGTATATGACAAACACTCTAAAAGAGTACAAGACATTTAAACAGAATATTTCTAAAATATAAAGTACTGAGTTTAATTTTTGTTTTGCATTATATTCTTGCCTGAACATCAATGAAAGACTGCTTCTTCAATTTTGTTTAAAAGCATCCATTCAGCCTTTGCCTACTAGCACTACTTATTATATACAATTTATTTCAGCATCAATAAATATCTTGACTAAGAAAAGTATTTAAATGTACAAAGTGTGTGAAAAGTTAAAATCGAATCAAGATCAACACAAAAAGGGCACCTCTTTCTCATATTTTCCTAATCGATTCATTCCCCCATATTATTTTATTGGATGATAATAATAATAATAATAATAATAATAATAATAATACCATAATAATAGTGGATTCTAGTATAGCGCTCATGTCTGTCAGACTTGACACTCCTGGCGTTTCCAATTATTACCCTGGCTATATAGCACGGCTGCCATTACGGCACTCTAGCATTTCAAAGAATTAATACCTGCCAGATACCCATTAACATCACCTGGGTTGAGTGTGACAAATGTAGATCAATGTCTTGCCAAAAGATAGAAGGGAGATAGGTCTACAAGCTTTATACCATGTATAGAGAAAATTTCTTTTAACTAACGCTGTTCAACACGGTGAAGAACAGCGTGGCCTGTAGGTGCATAAAATCATACATAAATCCTATGTTCAAAACACCACAATGCATTTTGATTACTTTCTAATAATAATAATATCGAATATTTAGGAGCGTGAAAACCAATAAGTACAATAGCGCTTACAAATACAAATCTATGAAAAGAGAACAAAAATGTACAGTCTCACAGGAAGTAGATCACATAGATCACTGGGGAGTAGGGTAATTTTTTAGGGATCTTTTGAAGGTGGCAAAACAGGTAATTTCCCTTATGGGAGGAGGGATGCTGTTTCAAGTCTTTGATGCAGCTACTGCAAAACGTTTTTCAGCTGCTGAGAGTCTAGATTTGGGAATGATAAGTTTAAATGTGTCGTTAGCTAAGCGAAGACTACGAGATGGTGTATATATTTGGAGGGTGTCATTAAGATATTCAGGTGCCAGATGATTGAGTATTTTAAAAGCATACAAACAGAATTTAAACAGAACACGTTGGTGGAGAGGTTACCAGTGGAGCTCCTTAAGTAAAGGTGAAGTATGAGTTCTAGACCCAAGGCCAATGATTAAGTTAGCAGCATGATTCTGGACAGTTTCAAGTTTCCTTCTAGAAGCTATAAAAGGTGTCATGTACATTCAAAATAGAAATGGAAATTTGTCACTCTCCAACGTGGTGTTAAATGGGTACAGAAAGAAGGAGTTTGTTGAATGATGTTAGCATCCAAATCAATAGCAGCTACAAGCTGGGGTAGTATTGGTGATCCTAAGGCACCAATACTATAGGTTTTCCCGGCCAATTTCGTCAAAGCAGCGATCAATTTCACTAACGTGCATTCATGTTCGAGCAAATTTTCTCCACTCGTTGCTTCCCTGTTTCATTTTTAAACTTTTTGCATTCAATTTCGTTTCGAGTCACCGAATTTTCGAAACAAGCACATTCAAATTAACGTTTGGTTCAGTCAATTTGGAAATGCGTTATAGCGTCATTCGATTTCGCCAAAGTTGAGTGGGAGGACAATTCTTTGTCGAATTGCGGTTTCATTTTCGTCTATGGGCAACCTCTTTCGCAATCGGGTCATTCAAATTAAAACTAGACCTCATAATTATTGTATGAGGCTCGATGTTTATTCGGATATTCACTTTTTCATGTTCATTTGTTTATTATTTTTCTCTATGATCTTTTCTGACAAGATTTCACATTATACAATCTTCTTATTTGTCTGATATATTTATATTGCATTCAATATTTTCTCTTTCTGTCGATCTTTATTTTTGATGAAACATTTCTTTATACAGTCATGTCTTCATATATTTCATTATAAATGAAGTTATTTTTTAAATGTTTTTTTTTTTTGTATCAATCTGGATTGAGTGGGTAATCTTTCTTTCTTTTCATTTCACATATTTTTCTTTATTCATCATTGTATTATGTTTCCATCATGGCCATGTCTAAAGCTCAACTCTACCGTGTCCAGGATCTGTGTATAATTATATAGCTTGTTCTTACAAGAAGAAGAGAAGTCACAAATTGTGCGCCTTCTCTGGGGACAGTTACCTGTGTCATGACAGATATCTGCTAACGAATACGCATAATCATTCCTACAAGTAAACTTAGCATTAAATTATTCAAACAGAAGTATATTAAGTGACAAATTAACATCAAATGAAAAGCAATGCACAAATGTCACATATGGATGCCTAATCACGAAATTGAATGCTTGAATACATACCACCGTCTGTCCGGCGCGAATTTGAATGCTCTTTGCACGCTTTTCTAAATTGAATGCTCGTTTTGCACTTCTCCGTGACAAGAGTATGAAATCGCATGCTACTAAATCAAATTGAACGACGCAATTAGCTTTTTGAATGTTGATCTACATAGTCATTCAATTTCGCACGAACTTGAATGAACGTAACGTTAATTCGGATGCTAAGTTTACGAAGTTGGGCGGGAAAACCTATATTATTAACATCATTATTCAACCTCAATCTATATTGAATCCATTCGCGCTATCTATTCTTTCTTTCAAATTACCCCATATCATGTTTAATCATGAGAGCCAAGAGGATTTTAAAGTATGTGTAATAATATGAGTTTAAGTCCTTTATCACACAAATATATCGCCATATTGTGATGCAAAAGCAGAGGAATGTAAACTTGAGACAAAAATAGGTACGTTGTACAAACATACAAATGGAGTATCGTTGTCTTTAGAGTACCTGAGTCAGGCATCTGCAACAAATCCAAGATCAAAGTCACCGGCTGGGCTCACATCTATTAAGCTATGACCCTGTCGATCAGTACAGCAGCAACAGCTTTGATCAGGTCTACAACTCTGGTTTGATGTGCAGCAGTTGCAGGAAGGCACAGGTATCTGGGCGCAATTGCCTTCAGGTCCAAACGCCCTGCAAAGAGGCATGAAGAAGAAGTTGGCATAGAACCAACTCACGGTCATTACAAGAGTTAGAAATATGCCGATTTGTTGATAGCAGAGTACGACAGATGGCAGCATAACAGCTCCTGCGATGAATGTAGAGAACGCTGCGGTGGTTATGGCAGAAGTGAGTTGAACCATTGCGAACGTGGAGCGAGAAACGCGGTCCTTGTGCGGGGCGAGCCCATAGGCCACACCGTAGTGGATGGTGAAGTCAACAGAGAGTCCCACCGCGAGACTCATTACAGTCGATTCCAGAATGTTCAGCTCCCAGCCTAAGAGAACCAGACTGCCTATGGTGACAAAGACTGTTCCGCCGATAGACAGGGTGGCAAAGAGAGTGATGAGGAGGTTCCTGGTTGTGAATAACAGAACAGTGGTGGCCATTCCCAGGGACAGCCCTATTGACATCTTTGTTCCTCGGGCAAGACTCTCTTGTAGGTCAAAGAAAAACATCTGGTTCTCACTGTAACTGCCGAACCAGCCACCAGCCATTCCTGGAGGTGCCGTCTTCATCTTCTCCTTCACCCAACCATCAATTTGATACCAGAACTTGTTGACATTTTCATACACTAAGGTATCAGCAGTTGTGCTGGTGAATGATAATTGTAATCCTGTCAACTTACTCTTTTCGCCAAAGCGTACATGTACACCATCACTGAATTTCAAGGTAGATGTCCAAAAAGGAGCGCAGTGGTCAAAGAGGCCTTGGTCATATGGAAATTTGGTTTGATTGCAGCATGGTTCAGGGTTAAATGGCAGAGAGTGGTTCTCACATGGTTGCTCCATTACTGATTTCAGAATTTCTATAAAACAAAAATCCGATCCCTTATTTGCTTTTGAGTAAAATGTCTGGTTACGTATATCGTGACAAAACGCCAAAAGCCACTCTTGGGACTCTTTGTTGGATAGGTTGAAAGATCTGTCAAAGACTATAGAACCTTTGTCATCAGGGTCCCAGGGGTTTCCATTGTCGTTCGGTACAACTCCCCAAACAAAAAATATGGGCATCAACTTCTCTTCTCCTTTCTCAAACAGAAAGTCCTTCTTGTAGATTTGGTCATATTGTTCCATGTAATCACTTGATATGAAAACTTGGAAGTCGTTCTTGGTTGGCAACTGAAGTTTTGGCTTGACAAATATAGCGCAAGCTCCACCCACCCCAAGTAGCGTGAAGAAAACAATCCACAGGTATCGGAGCTTGAATACTACCAATGGTAACGTAGTCTCCCAAAAAGACCGAATAAATCCAGACAAAACTTTTGACATTTCCTTTATCCTCATGTAACACTCGCAAGGTGTTATTCTCTCGCGACATCTTCGGAACTGCAAATACTTGTCCTCTATAACGACGATTGCAGGGAGCCAAGTGACAGTGTATACAAAGTTGATGAGTATGGCGCAACCTGCATACACCGCCAAGCAACGTAGGGCTGTGATGGAGCTGATGATACTTGAGAAGAGTGCTGTGGATGTGGTGAAACTGGTTACAAACATGGTGATGGCAGCATGGTGCAACGTATCTTGAAGAACCAAGACCCTCTTCTCTGGGGTTCCATCATGTCGCTGCCTCATCTTCTTCCATATATCGATGTAAACAAAGGCGTCGTCGGCCCCGATACCGATGACTAAGACGAAAGCGAGGACATTCATGAAGGGAAAGAAAGGCATCTTAAAGACAACAGTGTACAGGAAGTATGAAAAGACCAAGGACATTATCATATCGAGGATCGTCATGATGGTCACGAAGAGAGACCCAGTGTAAAGCCAGACGATCACAAGAATCAGTCCTATCCCTACAGCCAGGTACATGCAATTTGAAATAAGGAAATCAGAGAACAAGTCGTATTTGTATCCTCCTACTGCAGAGAGTTTTGTAATGCCGTCACCGATGTCCAGACCCATAATGTTATTCTTATAAATATCTTGTCCCAAAGCACTGTATAGGTAGAATGGGGTCACCATCAAAGCCAGGCTGACAGTCCTGAAATCCCCACAAGCAATCTGTTCTGCAGAATTTATAGGCAAGAGGTATTGAAAGATATTGAACACAGCGTTCTTCATGGTGCAGTTTGATGGGACATTGGGACAGGTTCCCTGAATACCGCAGTTGGGTCTCAGCACATTGAGGACAAAGAATGGTGAACATTCCTGAAGTAGTTCTCGTAGCTTCATGACGTCGTCATCCTGGATACCTGAACACGAATCCTTTCCCCCGATGAAGGCTGCATAGCGACCAAGCGATGCCGGTTCACATTCTCGTAGGTTTGGTGGAATCTCAGTGGTGTTCTTTAGGAAGAGACTGCTGTACAAACTGCACATGGACCGCATCGCTTCGGCACTGAATAAGTGCATGTTGTCAACACGAGAGAAGACCAAACGTACCTGGTGCGATGCATATTCAGCTGAAATTGAAAATAAAGGGAAATAAAGTGACTCTCGATCAGAATTATAACAGCAATAATTAAACTTACTACTAACAGAAAATCTGCACATTGATCCATGGTTTACACAACAAATTCATTTAAAAACAATAATTATACATGTATATCAATACTCTCAGCATTATTTGTATTAAGTGCTCTCATAAGCAAAAGTGGAAGAAAAACATGGAATTAAATTGGCAATTTTCCTCTTTGTGGTACATGTGGGGATTAATTTGAATATGCCCCACATCAAAACTTGTGGGATTTGGCTTTAGCATGATGACTCATACTCTGCTCCTACCCTGCAAATATTCAAGAATCTCTATGAAACACACCTCTTCCAGTCATCTTAATCCAATTTTATATGTTTGTATGAGTAGAGTGTCTTGCTTTGTAATATTATATTTTGCTCTATTCAGTCGCCTATTGCTTCGTTGTCGTCATATATTTATATAATATGGCCTGGCCTTGAGGGAGATACCACATAATATTTCCCAAACTAGACTCATATTGCCCAGTGTCAAAGACGGGGGCAAAATGGGTCTTGTGAAGGCAATATATGTGGTATCTCCCGAAAGTTAAGCCAGTCAATATTGTCATTATTATCCAAATCAGACATCTAGAGCAAATAAATATAAGACAATCTCACAGAACTGAAAAAACTTTGTCAAACCAGCACTGTGCATCCAGCTGCTTGACCCAATTTGGTGTGATTATTACGTCACAATATAGTGCGCGCAAAGTGTGCAGGTTCTTGTACGCATAATAGATGCGCAATGAAAATGGTACAATACGGCGCAGTGGATATGAGACTTTATTTCCTGCTTTTTTAACACGTAAAGTCTATATGCTTTTTCATGAGATAGTAATATGGTTTTATATTTACTGATTGACTCTTTTAGGATTACAACAAGTGTAATATTCTTTTGTAAAACCACTGCTCCCTGGTGGGCGTTTCATGAATCAATTAGTCGGTGGTTTTCACCGACTAATATCATTTTCACCGACAATTTTGTCAGCACTGACTACATTTGACCAATCACAGGCCTGGAAAATAGTCAGTGAAAACCACCGACTAATTGTATCATGAAACGCCCCCCAGGTGTCTGATACGGGTAATAATTCTCTAAAACTATTCATTTTGTTATTTTTATGAACCTATAACTAAATGTAAATTTGATGTATTAAGTATTTGGTGAAATATTATGTTTTTGTTACATTTGACTTTCATGTATACTCAAGGGATCGACCATAGACAGGCCTGTAAGCCTATTGTCGATCCCACCATTATCTGTTATGTTATATTTATGGTGTATCCTTGTTTGTCTTATGATTGTTTTGTATTTTATCAGATTGTTGAAATAAACTTGAATTGAATTGAATTGAAATAGAGGGTTAAAGGTATTACAAAGTTTTGGTATGGGGTCATGAATTTGGTTCAAATTAACATATTGGAAGCATATGCGTTCCTACAATATTCATTGATCGTTGTCCCGGTTGAAGTCGAGTCTAAAGTTATGAAATTATAAATAATAAACTCTTTATGTTGTATAGCTCCCTCTCAAGGCCAAGATATTAATTTAGTTATGAAACAATGTTTCTTGACTAAAATCGACCGATTAGCTATTCCCGTTTGGAAATTTTATATCACAACTACATATTCTGAGATTTTCATGGTCGCAGCTACCATTGTACGGTCGTATGCGCTATTTGAAATTTATCAAAATTTACCGGGAGCACCGGTAAATTTTTATATTCAATTTTTCTCGAAAACAGAAGTGTTTTAGGGGTTAATTTTTTGAGTGCTTATATTACTTCCACAGGGGCATCCAAATATATCAAAATTGTAAAGATTCACTATCCACCCAATTTTCAAAATTTCCCAAAACTTTGTATTACCTTTAAGATGTATACTTCTGTTTAGCCAAAACTTACTTTGGTCATACCTATTATAAGAGCATGAGAGCTCAAGGAATACTCCGTTTTAAAAGTGGAAGAAGTCTGTTTGATTTCCTGACTTCCGTCAAAGTTCCTCCAAATGTAACGTAAGTAACCATGGAATTGCCCATATACAGATGAGGTAAATTACAGTACACCATCAGACGGAAATCAGGAAATCAAGCAGATTTCTTCCAGATTTAAAACCATCACTCATCCATATGACTCTATACATCAGGCTAGTCTTGCTTAATCAGCCATGCAATCCCCATTCTCATTGATACAATGCCATGTTATGCTATGAGTTGTGTTTCCTACCTGGTTGCATGCAACTTGTTCCATCCTCTGGATAGATTCGTGGATCGACAGAACTCTCACTTCCACCATCAACAGCGCTTTCACTATTTGTCACAGTTTCACCATCCGTAACAGTTTGACCGTCAGTGACAGTACTGCCTGTGCTGAACTTGGTGTCTGTACTTCCATCCTGAAGATGACCTTGGGTTAAATTGCTAATTGGAGTTGATAGCCTGGTCGATGGCCTGGTCGATGGCCTGGTCGATGGCCGAGTCGAGGACTGAAGAATATTATTTACATCATGACTGGAACCACGGGTCGATGACGGCGTTGAGGACAAAGTTCCATGGGGGCCCTGAAGTCCACCCAAGCTGCGTTTGGATTGCCGTGGCAAGGTGTAGAAGTGGTCGTTGTTCTTGGTCTTGTAAAAGTGAAAGAGTCCTGAGGATCTGTCACTGATGTCTGTTTGTCGAGCTTCGAATCCCTTTGAGGAAGAAGAAGAAAAAAGAAAGTGTCTATTCTGAATTACACATTGTTGTGGCAATGAAGTTGATAACAAAAATAAGGTCATTTTTAAAGTCAGCTCATGTCAATAGACCGCCCTCTACGGTAAAAGCAGTATAACAATGGATTCAAGTATAGTGATTAGATATCTGCAGCAGGCCCCTTTCAATAAAAATGTACCCAGTTACTCCGCGATTATCACAATTTCTGTAGCATTTCTTGGACTATTAAATTCTTTGTCCAATTTATGTATCCGATTATGGTAATTTTGAGCAGTAGTTGTGTTTCCAATTGTGCTCTTGTAGTTTTTAATGATTTCTTGTTACGATCGCGTATATTTGTTTGGGTTCGTTTTGGCATGCATTACAGCCAACGAGGTGCACTGCACATTTTTTCTGTGACTAGTCTGAACTTGCCTTGCAACAGCTATCAGTATCGAAACTTGCGATTACCAAGTAATTTTCCGCTTTAAAAAAAAGCATGCAGTGTTAAAAATAAGATATAAATATTTATTTTGTCTTTAAAAAATTATTTGATCGGTATGTTGTAAAGAAGAATTTTTTATAAAGCCGTTTTATAATTCTAACATTCATATTTTTGACCCGATTTATTCAACCTGCATGAATCAAAATGGTGGCTCGAATGTTGTCCTTCTATTTTTGCCCCAGTTTTTTTACTTTTAAAGGCATGATAATGACACAAAACATCGCCAAACATGGATGAAAATAATGTCAAATGGGAGAATATACTGATCTGAGCCGAGGTATGCATGTGTTGCTTTATTTGATTGATAAAAAGGTCACTTTTAATTTAATGGACATACTGATGATATGTGCTTTTTATAGAGGCAAATGACAAATCCTGCGAGCTGATTTTGGGACACTGGGTCCCGATCAGTGCGAGGCCGTCAGGACCCAGTTTATAAAAGTCCTGACATGACTCAGGCCTATTTTTAATGCAACAACTTTTTTCTTTGATATCATCAATAAAGATTTAGTGATGGAGTGAAATTTGGAGAGGGAACAACAGATCAAACTAAAACCAAAACCTAAGGACAGGTACTTTCAGCCGGTCAAATGTCAGTATCTTGCATAGATTCAACATGAACTATTATAAAGTGGGTCATTTTGTAAGTCATCGTTTATTAGGTAGATTTAGGAATGAAATTTTATATTTTAACATCACTAAGACTTCATTTTTAAAACACTACTTGAAATATATACAGGGTGTATTCAAGTATTTAAAATTCAATTACTTAATTTTCTATCTTTCATCCTTCACTGGTGATTACCTTTCTTAAGAAGAGATGGAAGGAGGTGGGGTGACCATTTCAACTTGAGAACTTTTCTTTTGCTTGTTGGGTGAATGAGCTGTCGCCAGCCAAGGAGAAAAGAAAAAGATTGGTCCAACAATCCCCACCCTATCTCTAAATAAGAACCGTTTTTTACATTTTTCCCCACTTCTCACTTAAATCCTGGTCTTTATTTCATTCTTTTTCTTCCTATTTTATGTTAAGTTTTCATTGCGATTCTGTTCAGTTTCAACTCTCAACCCTGTCCCTCTATCACCATACAGAACAAGGTAAACAAATAATTTAAAAAAAATACAAAATCAATCATTAATTCATTATTAATCTATTAATAATGATGAAATTGATGGTGAAATAGTTGAATTTTGAAATTCTAGTTCTTTGTTCTCTTTTACCTTCAATGGATCATCGAACGATGGGATATCGTATTTAACAAATGCAGCAGCGCCCCCACCAGCGGTGAGAGCGAATAGCAGCACACAGAACAAGACTGGGAAACGGTTGAGAAATTTGGCGTACCTGAGGAAAGATATAAGATGACAATAATAAAAAGATAATAATATCTTCAATATGTGTTTTAAGCTTTATTGAAAGAACAGATTAATACTGAAATTTATATTCTCAGATTACAAAGACGAAGACACAAAGTATAATGGATAATTGTCATATTTCTTCCATGTCTTCTGTTCCGCTTGCATCATTTTCTCTTTTCTGCTGATATGTTCTCCTTCTCTCTCTCTCTCTTATTCTTCTCTTTCCTCCTCCTCTTCTTAATCTTCTCTTCCTCTTTAAACTCATTTTTTCTCATACTTCTCCTTTATAGTCTCGTCTTCTTCTTTCTCTTATCATTGCTATTTTAAAGTTTTTTACAAATTATATTCATATTCATTTCGTACCTTCCTCATTTATTTGTTGGTTCAATCTCCTTATCCTCTTGTACAATAAATAGAAGGGAATAAGTGAATATGGCAATGTATGTGTATACACATTATCCCAAGTCTTAAAACTGTACATAACATTAAAGTGGTATGCTTTGTTTTTATTATGATAGTAATGTCTGGATTATAATAAAACCCTTTAAATGAATATTACCGGTAACTCAAAAGTCTCAAAACAGGATACGATAAGGATATACATGAAGTAAATTCAGGAAATGATGGTTTGCGAGCTCCCTACAAATTTCCTTCATATCCAAACCATGAGAAAAGGATATAGAGGGGTCAGGAAACATTATAGGAAAGGTATACAAACATCTCCTGCACCACCTCCCCCCCCCCCCCCCCCCAATGATGTCAGTGTCCCACTCTATTGTCTGGATCTATACTATGACAGTTGCTCTGTTAAGTGCCTGGAAGGACTGGCACTTATTTAATTCACCAAAGTGCTTACTCAATATACTGTACTACCAAACAGAAAACTCAGATCTTCACAAAAGTGGCCCCTTACTATCCCATAAATAAATACAAAGTTGTATGGGTCACGCTCTTTCAGGTAGCATTAGCAGTGTTTTGGACTAAATTTCCAGAAAATATAAAAAATTGTAACAGCTTAAAAAAAAAAAGGATTAAATCATTCATTTTTTCATAAAATATTTCCAATATTAACAAATGACTTGAGGAACTCTCCTGAAAGCATCTCAATCTCCTCACTGTTAAGTTTCTTTTGTTTCTCTCTTTTATGGCGCATATATGACAATATCATTTGAGATATATGCGCTAGTATAGCCGGTATATTATTATTGCTATAAGATGTATATCTAACCAGTGACAGAATCCACTTTGTTTCCTCCTTTGCTCCTCATCTATCTCGTTTAAATCGGCATCGCTGACGGAGGTCAATCGAAGCGCACCACCGTTGGATGTTGGTTCGAAGGAAAGATCTTCAGTTTCAAGGCTCCCGATTCCTCCCGACTCCCAGCTTGTTCCTGTAGAAGTAGAGTTTACAATTTCTTCCCAATTAAATCAACAACATGACAATAAAGAAGGACATGCACAAAAAACTCTGTAGAGAATGGGGTACGTCGTTAATCATTTATTATGGCATACCCGGGGGGCCGGGGGGGGGGGGGGTACTCAGATTTGGTTTGGTCGGGGGTGTGCCGCTTATTCCTCGAAACCCCTTATTCGTGAGAAAAAATAAAGAAGAAAAAAACAACGATGCATGGTAACCACAATTTTACCTTTAACAAAAAGAAGACGGGGCCCCCACGTCCCCACCCCTGCCAACAACAAAAGAGTAAGAATAAAAGAAGGTAACCACAATTTTTACTATTTTGTTTTGTTACTCAAGAGGGGGATGTTGAGATACCTCACTATCGGCTACCTAGGTACATCCCCCCTCCCCCTCCCCCTCCCTGTTGAGTAAAAAAAACAAAGAACTTTGTGCTCATGCATAGTCATAACTCCCCCCTCCCCCGCATAAGAATTGGGCCCCCACCCACGCCGCCGGCTGGATACGCCCCTAATATAGACAGTGTATGTAACATAATATGTACGTACATCATGTCACCAGTATCATATCACTCTCTAGTCTCTATTCCCTATGCACTGCCATTTCTACGCGACACACCTTTTTGTGTACGTTTATTGTACAAAATGCTCAATACACATTCAGAGAGGCTAGAGCCTGTTATAGTTATAGAGTCTAAAAAGAAAAAAAGAGGAAGGAAAGAGGATGGAAAGAGAAAGAATCCTAAAAATAGTCATTTATGACATGAAATTGTACATATGTATATATATAAATAATTCATAAAAATAGTGTGTGGCAAAAATAGTCAACTGTGACTGATTGCCAAACAAAAACAAATCAAGAAGAAGAAGAAAGGCATAGGACGGTAGCCTCTTATCATTTTTATCAAGCATCATATCAGTCTGTAGATTATTATATCAGTCTATAAATTATCACGTCATTGTCTTGGATCGAAAGCGGTACATTACCATCGTCATGTCCTATATACCCAGTGTTCAGAGACGGGTCATCATCATCGAATAGTCGGGAATACCTCGGCATGTTTCAAGAAGACAAGATGTTTTGATGAACATAATTCACATGCAATACCTCGCAGAACGTACACGCAGCTAGCTTGCTTCTGGTATCTCTTTGGTTATAATCAGCACGTTGTATGAATGGAGAAAGTACATGTATACGCGTATACATGTACTTTCTCCAAGGTGCGTGTATCGCGCCGCTAGTCTGCAGGCGCAGACTCTGATTTGACACTTTATACCACAATTCTCAAACCCGCCCCGCCCCTCGATCACCCTCCCTAGTAGGGGCGGATCTAGCTTTTTGCCAAGGGGGGGGGGGGGGGGGGAGGTGGGGGTTGACTCAGTGGTGGATCCAGGATTTTCCGAAAATCGCGCCGTTTTACTTTTTTTTTCCTTCTTTTTTCTTCTTCACTTGGAAACCAAAAGGGGGGGGGGGGAGGGAGTTTAAACCGCCGAAACCTCCCTAGATTCGCCCCTGCCTAGTGTTATTAGGATGCGCGTATGCATATTCCCTCTTACCACCGCCCCCCCCCTTATCTCCGGTGTGAAAGTTGATGGCGGGCCTTTACCTCTGAAGGTCGCGCGGTGGTGCGTTGATTCCAGAAATTAAAGTCCCCCCCCCCCCCCCCCCACTGATGTCCCGAAAGGGTGGGTTGAGAGCGGAGTATTCTTTCGGGATAAGGCGGGGGGGGGGGGGCTTTCACCAGTCTTCCACATCAGTTTTTTTAGAATAGATTATCATTTTTAGGAATAGAAATTTATTAAAGTCGTTTAAATTGACATTTATTTACCAAAGAGTGCTTAACTAAAATAACACAGACAAAGGTGACAGTCAATATCCCTCCATGGAGGACATTGACATCTCCAGCTGGTGTCATTATTTTTTATCTGGATTTGATCCCTACAAAGCGACAGGGCCCGGACGGAATTTCGGCTAGGTTACTCAAGGTACTTGCTGATGAAGTCAGTACCTCAGTACTTAAACATTATCCAAGACATTCTGTTGAACAAGGCGTTGATGACTGGAGGATGGCAAATGTTGCTCATGCGTTTAATAAAGGAGATAGGAGCAATCCAGAGAATTATAGACCCATTTCTTTGGCATCTATTCCATGCAAAATCTTAGATCATAATCATCTGCAGCTGCACCATGTGACCATGATGAAAATTACATCCTCTCAGATGCCCAGCATGGATTTCGCAAATGTTGTTAATGTATCACCCCCGGTATCACCAAACTCATCCTTCCCTGTGACGACCTTGCAAGCGCGTAGCTAGGATTTTTTTTTTTTTTTTTTGGGGGGGGGGGGCGGTAGTGAGCACACAAAAGGTTGCGAAGCGCGCACCCTAGGGGGGTGGGTGCAGGGACGGGGGAGTTTCCTCCCGCGCGAAGCGCGGAATCTTTGAAAGAAGACGATTCGTTGTACCTTTCTCAACTCTTAATCCTTGTCTGAATTCTGTTTCCCCCTCTTTCGCGCGAAGCTTTGACGTTTCATTAAATTATTAGAGAAAGAAGACGATTCGTTGTTCCGTTCTCGACTCTTAATCCTTCATTAGAACTCAGTTTCCCCCTTCCCGCGCACAGCGCGGAAGCTTTGACGTTTCATTTAATTATCAGAGAAAGAAGACGATTCGTTGTACCGTTCTCTACTCCTTTTCCCTTTTCTTCTGTCTCTGTCTCTTTTTTTTTTTGGGGGGGGGGGGGGCAGCCCCCACCGCCCCCCCCCCCCTGGCTACGCGCCTGCGACCTTGTGTTGAAAACGATGTTCGACAACAAGCTAGATTTCATCATTCCAGAAGTCATGTTGGAAGTAAAGGTATTGACATCCTCTGTCATGCTTATCACTAAAAGCAGACATAAAATCTGGCGCTTTGCGTGATTTGACGAATATCAAGCTCAAATACACGCCCTCTATAAAAGGGTCTCGAAATATTGAACATGAAAGGACAGACTTTTGGCATTGAGTAGCCATGATAGTCAGTGGCGGATCTAGTGGGGCACAGGGGGCACGTGCCCCCGCCCCCCAAAAAAATTAAAATAAATAAATATATATATATATGTATGTATATATATATATATATTTTGTAAAAAAAAAAAAAAAAAATAGTGCTCAATACTGAAAATGTATGACAAGAGAATGATATTCCATAGTACGTGTCGAGATCGAAGCGAATGAAGCTTTCACAGGAATATTAAACCTGAGGGAGCGGATAAAAGAAATTGTTTGTATCAATGTTTATTACGAAAAATGTTGTCCTTTTCATGTTTTTCGTTTCTGCATTATGATGTGGATTACTTTTTTTCAAACGACAACTTCCGTTTTTTTTGGTTTTTTTTCTTGTTTTTTGTATTTTATTTCTTTTATGTTTACATTTGTACACAACATGATTTATTTGTAGGGGCAACTTCATGTTATTGTACGAAGTATCACGTACTATTCGAAAAACATAATTATACAAGGCGGCTGGCATTTATGATTATAATCCCGTTATGGGTCACCCCACCCCCCCCCCCCCTCCTCCCGCAAACAAGCTATCTCTCTCTCTCTCTCTCTCTCTCCCTCCGTCCCTTCCTCCCTATTTATCTCTCGTTTCTAATATATTTCTTGCTCTCCGGCTCTCTCCAATATAGATTAATGATTCTCTCTATCTCTAATCACCCCCCACTATTTCTCTCTCTCCATCTCTATCTCCCCCTCTCTCTCTTCCTCTCTCACTCTATCAACGCTCTCGCTCTTTCCTTTTCTATCATATGCTTCCATTTAGCATAATTACGGTAGAGCAATATGGTGTACATCACTACTCATGAATCCTCTTTTGTTTACTGGTTTCAATTTACATGTAGTTACATAATTTACATGTAGTTACATGCGTATCTTGTGTAAAGTTTTTTAATAAAGTTTTCTACATTTCTGTTACAGAGATTCCCTGTTGCGCTTCCTATTCTCCGCGATCAAAGCACAAAAAGCAGATTATTCTCCACCGAGCCCATGCTTGGCTGCACATTTTCCACGGTGACCCGTACACGGGTGAGCATTTTCATTGTTATTATACGAGCGTGGAAGAACATCAGAGAAAAAATGTTCTCTGAAAAGCATGGCTCTTCAGATGCCTTTATATTCTAAATATGCGACATGTAACAGCTAAAAAGTGAGAATAACATTTTTATGCCACATGTTTGTTTTGTCCCATATATACATTTTTTCTGTGTACAGTGCTCAGTGGCGGATCGAGGGGGCTGCATGGGCCCCCTCCCCTGGCAAAAAACAAGATAAAAACAAAAAAGAAGAAGACGGACCCTCCCTTGGTGCTCAAGGGGGGATGGATTGATGTTGAGTTTTTAAAACAAAGCACTGACACCTCTGCTCATCCCCCCCCCCCCACGCGCGCTTATGTATTGGCGGGCTGAGTCGCCGCTAAATATTTTTTTCACGAATTTAGTGGGGCCCCTCTCTGGCCCCTCCCTTGCCGCCGGCTAGATCCGCCCCTGACGGTGCTTGCTAATTTAACCAAGACTGGGCCAAATCTCCTATCATGTTGATGATTCCAGAACCTTGCAGTAGACACCAATAGTAATACTTATATCAGGCGCGCCGGAAGCAGTTTGGGATTGGGGGGCAAACATTCCAGGGGGCTCCCATTCCAGGGGCAGTGACGTAATGAGAAAAATTGTTCGGAAGGGGGGGGGGGGGAGACGAAAAATCTGCATCACCACCAGTCTTACACGTTACATGCAGGTCCCGCGGAACGTTTTTCAAAGTGGATCAGGTAGATCGTAAATTGGCGTGGGGTCCAGGGCATGAGCCTCGGCAGGGGGTCAAGGGGCTGAGCCCCCGGAAGCTCAGGGGTTTTAGGTATTTAATTACGGTTAGATGAGCATCCAGGGGCCCTCTGTAAGGCAATTGACGTGTTCCAAGGGGGGGGGAGCCCCCAGAAGCTCAGAGGTTTAATATTTAACTACGGTCAGATGAGCATCCAGGGGCCGTCTTAGGGCCCTTGGTGTGGTCCAGGGGGCAGAGCCCCCGGAAGCTCAGGGTTTTAGGTATTTAATTACGGTCAGATGAGCATCCAGGGGCCCGCCTTAGGGCCCTTGGTGGGGTCCAGGGGGCAGAGCCCCCGGAAGCTCAGGGGTTTTAGGTATTTAATTAAGGTCAGATGAGCATCCAGGGGCAACCTTAGGGCCCCTGGTGGGGCCCAGGGGGCAAAGCCCGGGAAGCTCAGGGGTTTGAGGTATTTAATAACGGTCACATGAGCATCCAGGGGCCCGCATTAGGGCCCTTGGTGGGGTCCAGGGGCAGAGCCCCCTGAAGCTCAGGGGTTTTAGGTATTTAATTAAGGTCAGATGAGCATCCAGGGGGCCGCCTTAGGGCCCTTGGTGAGGTCCAGGGGCAAAGCCCCGGAAGCTCAGGGGTTTGAGGTATTTAATAACGGTCAGATGGGCATCCAGGGGCCCGCCCTAGGGTTCTTGGTGGGGTTCCAGGGGGCAGAGCTTCCGGAAGCTCAGGGGTTTTAGGTATTTAATTACGGTCAGATGAGCATCCAGGGGCCCGCCTTAGAGCCCTTGTTGGGGTCCAGGGGGCAGAGCCCCTGGAAGCTCGGGGGTTTTAGGTATTTAATTACGGTCAGATGAGCATCCAGGGGCCCGCCTTAGGTCCCTTGGTGGGGTCCGGGGGCAGAGCCCCCGTAAGCTCTGGGGTTTTAAGCATTTAATTACAGTCAGATGAGCATTTTTTATACCTTATTTGTGACATTGGCAGGTCACTTTTTTTTCTTCTCCGTCTTTCTTTCTTTTTCTCTTTAACATACTTTTTCAAAAAGGAGGGGGGGGGGGGGGGGGGGGGGGTCGAGCTCAGCCACTTTGCAGACCATGACATAAAGGCTTCTAAATAAGCGTATTTCGCCTGACTGTAATTTGGAATTTCTTATTTTCCAACAAACGCATAAAAAGGTATGACTTACAAGAAAAATGGAGAAAAAATGCCGGAAAATCATGTCACAACATCAACATTTGTAAATCACTTGTTTCGAATAAGAAATACATCACCCCCCCCCCCCCCCCATCAGTACGCCAGCGTTCAGTGGCTCATGTCTTCTCACCCTATAACAAAAAAAACGGACACGCTTTCCCATTCTCGCACAATTATGTCCACGATATGCGCGTATCGCTATTATAGAGATCTCCATTGATAAATACCGTATAGGTGGCATGCGCAATGTTTATGAAATTTAATTCCTGTGAACTTTCCTTTTTCTTTGAATGGAATTGTATACAGATGATTGTATATGTGATTTAATTTAGGTTTTTATTATTGTTACGTTCTTTTGAATTAAAAATACAAACCATGTTTACTCCTTTACTGTTTGTTTTTGTTTTTTTGGAGGGGGGGGGGGCGTTTTGGGGGGGCAAAAATGCGTTTTGCCCCCCACTTTTTTGACTGGGGGGGCAACTGCCCCCCCTGCCCCCCCACTTCCGGCGCCTATGACTTATATGCTACATGGTCAACTTTTTCTGATGGATTCCACACCGTTGCTTTCACAATGCAATCGCATGACATGAATTCAACTTTATATTTAAGTCTGCATGCCCGAAACCTTGCAAGTCGCAACACATAGAAAAACATAACTTTAGATTGCAAACACCGCCTATTGATATATCACAATGCAGTGGCGGATCCAGGGGGGGCGAAACGGCCGCGGCCCCCCCCCCCCCCCCTATTGGCGGCGCAAAAAAAAGGGGAAAAAAGAGGAAGAAAAGAAGAGAAAAAAAAAGAAAGGAGAAGAGAAGAAAAAAAGGAGAAGAGAAAAGAAAGGAAAAGAGAATAGAGAAGAGAAAAGAAAGAAGAGAAAAGAAAGAGAGAGAGAGAGAGAGAGAGAGAGAGAAAAGGAGAAAAGAAAACGAAAAAAGCCCCTCCCCCCCCCCCCCCCCAATTTGTGTTCCCAAAATCTCCGAAAAAGGGTTACTTTTTCACGCATCAAAGTCCGGCCCGTAATACACAAAAATCCGGCCCTTACTGACGTTACACACCGGAGAAAGAGGGTGCTTTCTAAGAGAGGGAACATAAATGCGCGTACCCTAGACAACACTGAGTGGGTGGGAGGGGGGGGGGCCGCTTCACAACTCTTATTTTGCCCTTCCTTTGGATTCAGCTCATACCAACTCGCGTGTGCTTGTATTTGAACTCATGTTGGTAAAACTTGAAGTAGATTTATCCATGGTTGGTGTAATTGATCTTTCATTTCTACTAACCTAATTGTGTGCTATCACAATCATGATTGTTACATTTTCCCTTTAAAGCAGGCGCGTAGCCAGGGGCGGTAGGGGCAGTAAAAGGACCTTGGACGAAAAAAGAACAGACAAGGAAATATTTTTGAAATTCTGACAAGTCGAGAACGGTACAACGAATCGTCTTCTTTCTCTAATAATTTAATGAAATGTCAAAGCTTCCGCGCTTCGCTTGGGAGGGGGGAACTGAATTCAGACACGGATTAAGAGTCGAGAATGGTACATGTACAACGAATCATCATCTTTCTCTAATAATTTGATTGAACGTCAAAGCTTCCGCGCTTCGCGCGGGAGGGGGGGGGGGGGAACTGAATTCAAACAAGGATTAGAAGACGAGAATGGTACAACGAATCGTCTTCTTTTTCTAATAATTGAATGAGGCGTCAAAGCTTACGCGCATCGCGCGGGAGGGGGGGGGGAGGAAACTGAATTCAGACAATGATTGAGAGTCGAGAACGGTACAACGAATCGTCTCCTTTCTCTAATATTTTAATAAAACGTTAAGCTTCTGCGCTTTGCGCGGGAGGGGGGGGGGAACTGAACTTAGAGATGGATTAAGAGTCGAGAATGGTACAACAAATCATCATCTTTCTCTAATAATTTAATTGAACGTCAAAGCTTCCGCGCGGGAGGGGGGGGGAACTGAATTCAAACAAGGATTAGAAGACGAGAATGGTACAACGAATCGTCTTCTTTCTCTAATAATTGAATGAGGCGTCAAAGCTTACGCGCTTCGCGCGGGAGGGGGGGGGGGGAGGAAACTGAATTCAGACAATGATTGAGAGTCGAGAACGGTACAACGAATCGTCTTCTTTCTCTAATATTTTAATAAAACGTTAAGCTTCTGCGCTTTGCGCGGGAGGGGGTGGAACTGAATTTAGAGAAGGATTAAGAGTCGAGAATGGAACAACAAATCTTCTAATTCTTTCTCTAATAATTTCATTAAACTATGAAAGGTCAAAGTTTCCGCGCTTTGCGCGGGAGGGGGAGGGGAACTGAATTCGGACAAGGAATAAGACTGGTCGAGAATGGTACAACTAATCTTCTTCTTTCTCTAATAATTAATGAAAGGTCAAAGCTTCCGCGCTTCGCGCGAGAGGGGGGGGGGAAACTAAATTCAAACAAGGATTTAGAATCGAGAATGGTTCAACGAATCCTCTCCTCTAATTATTTCATGAAACATCAGAGCTTCTGCGCTTCGCGCGTAATGGGGGGGGGGGGTGACAGCGAGCTACTTGAATATGAATTTTCGGTATCTTTTCTCGTTTATTTTCGTGATAAAATAACACTTTCACAATATACATATTATGCTCAAATTTTTGCTCGATCGCTTCGCTCACTAGCCGAATTGTGAAACCAGAAAATTACTTTTTCGGGCAAGAGGCTATAGCCCCCCCCCCCCCCCCCCCCCCCCCCCCCCCCCCCCCGATGGAAATGTCAAAAATTGTACCGGTATGGTGCTTCTACTATAACCTTGTTGATATGTTGAGTTTTAAAAAAGGTCTGCGCAATTTCGAAATTTCCGGCTCCCTCCCCCCCCCCCCCCCCCCCCTATTGGAAAATCCTGGATCCGCGCCTGACAAAGTACATTGTATAGAGGCGGGATTGAATGAAGCTCGTTGAGAATCCCCGTAAAAGAAATGCAGTGTGTACCGGTTCGGTCATACAAAAGTGCGTGCAAACACTAATATGTTATCGTGAGGACACGCATCAATATTAAAGGGGAAGTCAACCCTGATACAAAGTTGCTTTTTAGGAGAGACAAATTAAAGAAACCGGTCCGTGAAATTTTGAGCAATTACTGATTTAAAGCACTTTCGCCTGTAAAAATCTTGAGTAATATACAACTATTCCTTATTATCGACAATAACTAGTTTATTATTTCAAATGTATACGTTCCTATTTGTAATGCATTAGATCGACACATGAAAAGTTAGTATAACGAATTTGTTTACAGTTGTATGTGTATTTAAGTTGGTGTATTTGGATGTATTTCTGAAAATTGTATTACCCTTACTGATCATTTAAAGGGGAATTCCACACTGATATTGAGTTGGTTAAATAGGAGCAGAAAATGAGGGAAACAGATCAGTAAAAGTTTGAGCAAAAACCGATTGAAAATAAGAAAGTTATGAATGTTTGAAGGTGCAATAAATTAAACATAAATTGGCAATTCTGTGACGTATCTTGCGACGTCTCCTCCCATTTTCACTGTACGAAAAATCCTCAAAAATGTGTATTTCCCTTAAAAAAATTCCAATTATACATTCGCCCTAAATTTAATGTAAATATATTTTTTTTATACAACCCCTGTATGAAACAAATCTATTTTGTTATCAATAACTACGAAAATGATTTTTTTTTTAATTGTATGTATACAGAGCGAATTTGAAAGGAGCTCGCAGGATACGTCAATGTCATAATAATAATAATAATAATAATAGCCTAATAGTCCACTCTAAATTTTATTAAACCGAAACGGAAATTCGTGTTGCCCAATTGTGTTTCCAAATGATAACTTCAAAAAATCATAACTTTCCTATTGTAAGTGTTACTCAAACTTGCATTTGATTGTCTCTCTCATGTTTCGGCTTGTACTATTGAATACAAAGATAATAGCCGGGTTTCCCTTTAACGCGCGATCGTATTTGTAGAAGCCATATCTCGAAGGTTGTGCCCCCATTTGGAGTGCTGTGTATGCTAAGTGGTGGATCTGCCAATTGTAAGAATTCTCATTACTCTGAGTGGAGGCCTATAAAGAAACAACTTCACAGGTAACATACCGTTTATACATATTTTATTATACCCTTGCGGTCAGAAATTGAGTGATCAGTGGCAGTGACTCCTTAATTGTGAATTCAAAATGTGGAACTAAAGTTACAGGATGCAATATAGCCTGTTAGTGTTAGCGTATGTTGAATCATAACTATCGGTATATAATTATTGACAAACAGTGTCTGTAGTATAATTATGTATGACTATCCATGGTATGAATAATTGTGTACAGTGGCATTGAAAGTGAAACATTTAATTTTTGCAAATAAAAAGCGGGTATTTTGATATGAATACTTTAGGTTTGATACAATTTACTGTATAACTAATAAGTATTTTAAAATATCAGTTACACACTGCTACTCCTTTCATGGAACGCTACATTTTATTGCTATCAATCAACCTGCTACCAACCTGTTAATCAATATTATTTCATCTATAATCAATCATGAATCGTAGTTGATTGAGATACGATTTGGATGTTCATCGTATTTAAAATACCTGTGAATTTGTATGGATGCTGGGGAAATATAATGTAATCTACGTACTTAATTATAAGTGCTATGACCATCTCGATATCAATAATATAATAATGTTGCATTTATTAAGCGCCTTTTCAAGAGAAACAAAGCACAAGAAGAGTGAGTGTTGACTTTAACTGTTTACCCAGTGTTCTATACGTATTTTAGCATTCAGAAGGACAAATACATGTAACTATGTAAGTCTATTTCTATTAATTTAGGCAAAGAGATTGATATGCATAAGAATGTATGAATGTGAATTTATTGCTCTTTTGAAATGCTCCTGTGATTGCGCATCCAATGACTTCGCTAGAAAGAGTAAGGAATTTCAACAGCAACATTTTGCTGAAAAGTTGCAATGCCAAGCAGTGTGAGAATACAATGCAATACGTGCCTTCCCTCCAAGAGTGATTTTCAGTTCCCCCCCCCCAATAAGAATAGATTTTCACCCCTCCCCTTCCCATATATTGCAAATTATGGTACCCAACATTTTGAGAAGTATACCCACTGTTGATATTATATGGCCTGTCTGTATTCGGAACAAATACACATGTACAAACAACCGAAGTGCACAGACGCTAAACGCAACGAGACTTTTTCGTATTTTTTTACATAGAAAATGCGGTTCCATTATTCCTCTCTTTCTCTCTCTCTCTCTCTCTCTCTCTCTCTCTCTCTCTCAATTCAATTCAATTCAATTCAATTTGTTTGAATAATGATGCGACAGTCTCCACGGCAAATATTGGAGGAATATCGTTACAGGCAAGTTTTCTTAGGCTGGAACAGAGGGACTGTATTTCGGAAGAAAAGTCCATTGTATCGAAACGGGCATATAAAAATGATTAAGTTCATTCGCGGTAGCGACGGGGCAGTTGGAAACATCTTTCTGTCTGTCTTTATCTCTAATCTTTTCTTCGCTCGTATGGCAAGCCGTTTTAACAATAATTCCTATTTCTTGATATCAAGAATTACCATTGTTTTACAACATAAAATAATTTCTTGATATCAAGAAATATATCAATAATTAGAATTATTGATATCAACAATGTTCAGATCTCCTAATAATAAAACGCATTGCGCCACCTTTGTTCTATTATATACTTCTAGACTAGTGACTACTCTAAACTGTTGAGGCGCGGCTGCTGCTTTTGTCGTTTGTGTGTGTGTGTTTGTTGTCGCTGTTGCTTCTGTCTTGACTTTTAACGACTTAGGCTTTTGAATGACACGAGCAAAAGCTTGGGTACCAACAGAATCCTGAACAATAAAAAGTGGTAACATTATTTCAACTTAGATTGCGATATAATCATCTCACAATATTTTTCTTCTTCTGATATTCAATTTAAGGAAGTTGAACATGGAGGACCCTAAAATGCCCATAGGGCCTGCAGAAGGTGTACCAAGTATACCATCTTTTGAAGATGTTGGATTTCCCAAGATACCTAAAGTTTTTGGTGAACCAGTGCAAGCCATCAAGGTTTTCGAGGAGTACAATAAAATTGTCGTTACGGATGAGATACAGCAAATGTTTAATGAACGAATGGACTTTACTAAGCCAGATGTCCTCGAAAAATTGCAGGTATTTAGCCAAGTGAAAACATTATGATCTAGTCAGATCTGCATAATATGTTCTTCTTTTTTCACAGCTGAAGGAGAACCATGAAAACAATATTATAATGGATCTTGATTAAAGTGTAGAAACATTGTTTGATAAATATAGAGAGGCATAGAGAAACATGTACAGACCAGATCACTGCGAAAGACGAGACTTCATTAAACAATAAAAATATGGATACCAAAAGAAAACTAGCATAGAGGAGCGATGGATGGGACAAGGTAACAATTGACTTTAGAACTCTAAATTATGGCTGTTATGAATTCTATGTTAAACACAATAGCAGATATATTTGTATTTTATTCCACACACCTCAAAACTAATCAATGTACTAGCCTTTTTTTTTTAGCCAGTTTAGCATATCATTGCTGATTTTAATTGCATCACTATTTCATTCTAGACTCTTGCGGTTATTCCAAGACAGCATGTTTAAAATCATTAGTTTATAGTTACCCGTTTCAGCTGTCATTTTGCTTATAAAGTACCCTGCAATTTTATTTCGCTTATACTTTTATCTCCTGATTTGTCTGCCCAGAGTGTTTGGCTACACGCAAGCTATCTAGCACTGGAACGCTGTGGGTTCGAGCACTTGAAACCAATGCTTGGACCTGGCAAGATCTCAGACATCCTCCCCTTAATGTTCATAGCATACCATGATTGCCCAGAGGTAAATGTTATTTAGTACTTAAAGCCCCACTGTCCTACTTATAGCTACTTGCTCCCTCTATATAGAAAACTTCCCCAATCGGTGGCTGTTGGTCCCCCATGATCCTCTTTTTCTTATGTTAGTTGAGAGCTGAGTTAATGAGATAGTCACCTGTCAGTGACCTCGCTGTGTGGTCTAATCCCTTCTGGCCCAGTAGTATTGACGGTCTTCAACACGATCGTAAACAAATTAAAACAAATCAACTTAATTGTATTTTCGATAGGCTTTTGTATTTCCTTCAGAACACATGTTCAGATCACATAATATGTATTTTTCATGTTTGCACATTTGAATAGGAGGCTCACAATGATAATGAATTTGCCAAATTTGATTTGCGTCTTCTAACAATATCTAAAAATAAAAATTATGAGTAAAGAGGTATTACTTTCTCAAGAAAGAATCTCACAAGAAAACTCACAAAGAAACTCATGCACACCCACACACACAAATCAGTACGCTGTTCACGTAAGTATCATGATTTATCTTGTCTTTCATGTTATAGGTGTTGAAATTGGGGGCGTATGTTCAGGATCCTCTTGTCGGTATACCGCCACCTAGCGTGATTGATATTGGTAGTGAAATGCCGAACCTCAATCTGGTCTCCCTGGCCGGTAAGACCGTAGGTCTTTCTGATCTCCATATCAACAAGGACAGGACGATGATGATCATGGCTTCGTCAGCTTCCTGACCTCCGCTTAGGGTGAGAAGATCACGATTTGAAGAGTTTAATTCCAAAAGGAGCTAAATCCACTTTTAATGAAAATTGAGTTATTGATATCAAAACATTGTGTACTTCAGTACACGTCTTTCAACAAAAGCATTTACCTAAATTTTGGGAGCAATTATGAAAAAATGCACCTTCTAAAATATCACTTTTCCATAGACGCCTATACAAAATCTGGTAACAAAATTCATTTTTCTCTCAAGTACAAAAATAGATTTAGCTCCTTTTGGAATTAAACTGTACATTTTTCTGTTGGAAAAATATTTCATTACTTTCAGAGGGAAGGCAAGTAATGCATTGTGTTCTCACTGTTTTTTTCTTCTTCTATATATGAAAATTAATTACCATTAGAATAAGGTACATCTTTTTCTTGTACTTCACATATTTCCGCCACCATCACCACCACTTCCACCTTCACTGCTTTTATCTCAAAGTCGCAAAATACTGGGAATAGTACCACATACAGCTTTCCAGACCTTACAATAACATCTAAATTTAGAAAGATTGTGAAAGGGAAATTATTTGATTTTGATTTTTGATTTGATTCGATTTGTTTTTTCTGCTTAAGATTTGTTTTTGTTTTTGCAGTTTCACAAATATAAAATAAATAAATCATTACAAATTGTCTATATGACAAAAGAGTATATGTAGAATAAAGTAAGGCTGGCTGTAATTAAGGTTATAGCGTTTGTTCTTCGTCTCCTCCTCCTCCTCCTCCTCCTCCTTCTCCTCCTCCTTCTTCTTCTTCTTCTTCTTCATCTTCTTCTTCATCTTCTTCTTCTTCTTCTTCTTCTTCTTCTTCTTCTTCTTCTTCGTCTTCTTCTTCTTCGTCTTCTCTTCTTCTTCTTCTTCTTCTTCTTCTTCTTCTTCTTTGTTGTAAAAGGACGTGTCTCGAGCGAGCTCCAGAGTTTTTGTAAGTTTTGTCGGAATTATACTGTTTATAATTACAGTTTTAATACTAGTGTACTACTAGTACACAGTACAACCATACCAAACCAAGTCCACCTTTCTTGTGTGTTAATATTTGTAGTTTTTATGCTTTTTTTGTGGTAACCTTGTGTAAGATTTTTTGGCCACTATGGCCAGTGAAGCCGAACAGGCCTCCCGGGATAAGCCGGGGACCAGCTCGGCTCAAAATACCGTTCCTGTTTCTGCTGCCGAGCCGTTCAAGGCCGTAAGCAGAAACAATGGTATCGTTTTTGGTTCTGCAGCACATGTTCCTATTCATGATTACATAAGAGCGTTTGTAGACACCATTCCAGCTCATTGTATAGTGTCTGCCTCTCGTATCAGTAACCAACGTCTAATGTTTACTCAGAAATTCCGAACTCTGTTCTTGTAAAACAAGTTTCTGCTTTTTGTAAAGTAGTCTCACAGATTCGTCCCATCCCTATTGGTTTCAAGGATAAACAACTAGCTCACATCATGTCCTTCCGTCGACAAGTCCAGGTGCTGCTTACTCCGAATGTTACCCTACCCGATTTCGTTAACTTTATTCACGCAGGCACCAATTATCGCGTTTTTCTTTCCACTGAGGCGGCTCGCTGTTTTGAGTGCGGAGAGGCTGGACATATCGGCAAGAATTGCAAAAAAAACCGCTCGGCCAAATGAGTCCGCAAACTCTACCCTTACGTCAACACAGGCAAAAGGAAAATCTGACCCACGACATCCCCCCAAAGTGTCTAAACCCTTACGGTCTGAACCTGAAACCCTTAATCTGAGGGCGTCCCCAGTACACACAGAAAAGCCTAGCGGCTCCAGCCCTAGGCCCGCCTCTTCGCGTTCAATGGTTGACGAAACCGCTGAAGGGGCCCTTGCGCGCAGGCCTACAACTCCGGTTGCGATAGTTTCCCGTAGCATTAATAATAGTCCACCTAGCAGCTACCCCACAGGCAGTAGCCAGGACAAAGTTCCTCCTCTCGTAACCCCCACAATTTCTTTGACCCAAACCCTTTGCGACCCCATCTGGGGAACACCGCCCGCCCCGTCCAGACTTTTCGCAGATGTTGTTAAAAGGAAACAACCTCCCGAACCTTCTTTGGTAGACTCCCCTAAACTTACTCCAATTGTGTCTGCTACCCCACCGCGGAAACTAATGAGAAAAGTTTCCTCTCCCGTGACCTCAGAACCTCCCTCCCCTGTATCAGTATCGCTCCCTGCGTCACCAATCCCATCCTCTCCCGCTTCCACGGTAGACACTGTCGACACTGATGACGTGGCGGTATGGGATGATACACAGACTGACGATGAGTCCTTTGACTGGGCCTCCTCTTTTCCGTCCAGTCAAGGACCCCTCTCTTCAAAGGAAATTTGCAAATTTCTAAAGATTGTCAAAGCACGGAAAAAACCTCTAGAGGTAGCGAGAAAATTCACTTCCAACATATCAGGACTTGTAAGACAACTTAGACCCCTGAGGAACAGTCCTCTGTTTACTAAAAGTACACAGCAGAGGATTTACAAATTGATCAAAAATTTAGATATCTAATATGGCCATCTTCTTATGTAATATGAGCGTAGACCTGCATGCCTTTCTCTCCCTTTTTATGACGCTGTCGTTGCTCACCCTTAATACTGGAGGTTGCTCCAATGCCATGAAGAATGCTTCAGTGTTTAGTTATGTTGATAATATTGCGTTTGATTTTGACATTGTGTTTCTACAAGAAATTAATGACCTCTCCCAGAATTCTCAATGTTGGAATTTGTGGTCATCCTATAAACCTTTTTGTGCCCCCGGGCATAATCGAGGATCCGGAGTAGCTACCCTTGTGAAGAACAATCTTTGTAGTGATATTGACTCCTTAGTTATACTTAATAGCCACATTATATATGTTAAAATTGAGTTCGATGGTGGTATGTATCATTTATATAATGTGTTAATGCCACAAGATGACGGCCTTGCTATTAAGGCTGTTCATCTTCTTGCGTATCATGTTAATCAGTGCAGTGATGGTGTTATTATTATTGGCGGTGATTATAACTGTACCCTATCTCCGTCATTAGACAGATTGTGCATGCCTAATGAGCATAGACCTAAGTTATCTTCTGCCCTCAAGGAAGTGATTGATAGTAATAAACTATGTGATACGTGGCGCAGACTTCACCCTCATGAAAAGAAATACTCTTGGCATAGGAACAACCCTCACAGCGTTAATGGTGTTTCTAAAGCCAGACTTGATCGTTTTTATGTGTCTTTTCCCCTAATACCTTCATTACACTCTTGTCGTATTCTACCTTGTACTCTCTCTGATCACTGTGCGATTTCCCTGAAAATTAAAATTCCCCCACAGAAGCCAAGAGGATGTGCTTTTTGGCATCTTAATAATTCCCTTCTTGATGACAATGATTATAGAAGTATTATTAGTCATTTCTGGACTGACTGGCAAAATAAAAAAGCCGACTTTCCTAACATTCTGTCATGGTGGGACTTTGGTAAATCCCACATTAAGGTGCTCACTCAAATGTACGGATCTAAGTTAGCCAATGAGAAGAAGGAAACGATATTGAATATCAATAAAACCATCGACGAACTGCATTCTTCGCCTGAATTCACGCCTGATATCCAGCAGGCTCTTGCTGAACAAAGAACTGAACTAAACATTCTCCTTAAGAATCAAGCCAAGGGTGCTCTTGTAAGGTCACGTTTTCAATATGCTAATGAGATAGACACTAGCTCATCCTATTTTTATGGTCTTGAAAAATCAAACTCTACTTTTAAAACACTCTCTCGTACCCGTCTCCCTTCGGGTAACATTACAGAGGATCAGAACGATATTAAAATTCACGTTCGGAATTTTTATAAGAATTTGTACTGTCGTGTACCTATTGATGAAAATTCGGTTGATACTATTTTATCTGATCTATCGAAACTCAACCCTGAGGATTCAAAACATCTTGACGCTCCTTTGTCATTCAATGAACTTGATATTGCTGTCACACAGCTCGGCAAAAATAAAACGCCTGGTCTAGATGGACTTTCTTCTGAATTCTATCAGACTTTCTGGCCCTTGATAAAAAATGATCTCTTCTCTGTATTACAATTTGCCATAAGTACTGGAACCCTCCCACATACTTTTCGTAGAGCAGTGATTACGTTAATTCCTAAAAAAGGAGACCTGGCAGACATTGCAAACTGGCGACCAGTCTCTCTTCTAAATAATGATTACAAAATTTTTGCAAAGATACTTGCCAATAGATTGAAACATTATATTACTAACATTGTATCTGAAGACCAAACGTATTGTGTTCCAGGTCGAACGATTTATGACAACTTAAATTTGATCCGAGACATTGTACACTTCTCTAATTGCAATGATACCCCTCTTGCAGTAGTTAATTTGGATCAAAGGAAAGCCTTCGATAATGTAGATCATAATTATCTCTTCAATACCATGAGAGCTATGGGCTTTGGAGAATATTTTATTTCTTGTATTCAACTTTTGTATAATGACGCAGAGGGCTTAGTCAAAGTGTGTGGATCCCTCACTGCGCCTTTTCCTTTTCAAAAAGGCATACGCCAAGGTTGCCCTTTATCTGGCTTTCTGTATTCTATAGCCATAGAACCTTTTCTTCACAAGTTAAAAGTTAATCTTTCATCGTGTTCTTTCTCCTTACCCAACACAGATATGAATGTCTCGGTATCTGCGTATGCGGATGATATATCAATTTTTGTCACTGAAGACAAAGGCTTTGATATTATTCTAGATACATATAACACTTTTAGCAAGGCCTCGGCTGCCTGTCTTAATTATGTTAAATCTCAAGGACTGTGGGCCGGATCATGGTCGAAACGTAGAGACAGGCCCCTTGATTTCCTGTGGAATTGCGAAGGTCTCCTCTTTCTTGGAGTTCATCTAGGAAATAATAATAATTATGTAAACAAAAATTGGTCAAAGTGTAAAGAAAAACTGAGTAAGACTCTATCTCGATGGAGCTCCCTTTCTTATAGTTTGTCCTTTAAAGGCAGAATCATTATTGCTAATCAATTAGCTGCATCTAAACTTTTCCATTGTCTTGCAGTTTTGTCTCCCCCTCAGCAAACACTAATTGAACTCCAAGAAATGCTTATTAATTATGTCTGGTCTGGTAAACGACATCTTTTAAGAAAGCAAATTCTGTTTCAACAACCCAACAAAGGTGGACTTGGTTTGGCATGTCTCCAAGCACGAACCCTTACATTTCGTTTTGCCTTTTTACAGCGTTATCTCAATCTCTGCTCTCATCCTGCGTATGCCCTTTGTTCTCATAATTTTCGCAGATATAAGAAACTAAATCTTGATTTTCCTTTGTTTCTGACTGAATTAGACCCAAAGTTTTATACCAGCCTTCCTTGTTTCTATTCGGAAATTTTGCGTGCTTGGATTACCTCTGGAGCAAGCGTCGAGACATCGTCCTTTACTGTCAACCATGTGTTAAACATTCCCTTGAATTATTATAAATTTCTTCAATTTACACTGGATGGCGACAAGATCTTCCCTGTTAGACTATTTGCATGTGGAATCAAACTCGTCAAGCATCTTGTAAACCCGAACAACGGTACCTGGCTCCGAGCAGACGAGGTCGTCATTGCCTCCACTTTACAGCGTCCGTCTTTACGCCTTTTGGAACTTGACCTCTCTCGACTTCACAAAGAGATTTCCGGTTTGTTTCCTAGATTCTTTTCGAACAGCGGACTAAGACTGTCAGCAGCTTCAGCTTATCTTCATAATCTGACTGAACCTGTTACCTCTCCGTTCTCGATCATAACTAAAGACAACAAGAACATTCTTGCCACGCCGACTAAATCGATATATCGAATCTTCAACCGTGCTATTAACTTTCTTCCTAGAGCTCAAGTTACTCATTGGCACGAGGCTGGGTTACTTTCCCCTTCTAAACTAATCAACTGGACTGAAATCTACTGCTATCCATCATCTAAGAAAGATGGGGACACTCAGTACAAACTATAACACAATGTTCTTCCGTCGCTTGCCGTTCTTCATCATCTTAATCCCGATATCTCCTCTTCATGTGGATGGTGTGGCAAGAAGGGAACTATTCTACACCTCTTTATCGAGTGTACTTCTATACAACCGGCCTTGGATCTTCTTCATCATCTTCTGTCAAGTCTTCTACCCGAAGTAAACATTGACTTTGACCTCTACTGGACTCTGGTTCCACATGCAAGAGGTCGTAACAGGGAGGCCGTACGCCTATCCAACTTTTTTATTGTCATTCTTAAAAGCACATTATATTGGCTTTATCGTACCTCTCGTTTTCTTGATCCACTTCCTTTTTGGAAACTTAGAATCAAGAACAGAGTCATTCTTGATTATGAATTTCACAAATTACAAAACAATTTGGTGTTATTTCATAAGATATGGTCGTACAATAATGTACTCTTTCTTTCAGATGATATTGATCTCACATGGTTGATTTAATTGTTGTTTGTGATAAGTTTGTCTTGAGAAGAAGCTCATAGTTGGAAGTTATGAATTTTCATAATTTAATCGTTTTGAAACACTCTATGGATGTGTAATAATTTGTGATCAGTGTTTAGTACAATTTATGTTTTTTCTCAATTTCTACCGTCGAAATTATTGTTTTTTTATGAATTGTTTAATGGTTACTTTCTCATGTATTACGTACTACTTGTTGTTGATTATTGGTATATGATTTACAAACACTTATTATATTAAGTGCATCACTGTTATCTTTTTTATTTGTTTTAATTATTATATGTATTGTAAATAAAGTTTTACTTTCAAAAGTCAAAAAAGTCTTCTTCTTCTTCTTCTTCTTCTTCTTCTTCTTCTTCTTCTTCTTCCTTTTCATCTTTTCCCCCTCCTACTTCCCCCCTCCTCATTCCCCCTTCCTCCTAGCACTCCGCCTCTTCCTCCTCCCCTCCTTCTCCCCTCCCTCTCCCCCTCCTCCTCCCCCTCCCTCTCCCCGTCCTCCTCCTGTCCCTCCTCCTCCTTCTCTCCCCCTCCTCCTGCTCCCCTCCTTTTGTTTTATTTTATAATGTTGAATTTATGAATTGATTCTCTTTTATTTGTCTTCACGTAAATTTATTTACAAACTTGTCTCCTTATAGGCCTGTGTAATAGGTGGTACGCTTGCAGGTATTGTTCGCGACTACCGAACCCAGGTCGATTTCCTAGCCGTCTACCTCGCCGAAGCTCACGCCGAGGGAGTGTGGTCTCTGGGGAGCAATGTCAGCTACATGAAGCGTCACAAGTCTCTTCAAGAGAGGATTGATGCAGCTAAGTACGTGAGGAAGCTACATTAGGGACTTTTAGATTCTGCACGACGAGAACGTGGACTGCTCTTTTAAGGCAATGTGACGTCACTGCCAGTGCCTTAAAAGGACGTCACATTGCCTTAAAAGTGCAGTCCACGTTCTCATCGTGCAGAATTTAAAAGTTCCTATTAACATTGCCTCCAGGACTAAGAGCATTATCATATTTCGTACAATCTACAATGAGTAACATTCTGTATATAAAATTAAATGAAACCCGTTAAAGGGAAAGTCCACCCTGAAATTAAGTTAGTTTTAATAGGAGTAGAAAAATGAGAGAAACAAGTCAGTGAAAGTTTGAGCAAATTCCGATTAAAAATAAGGAAGTTAGGATTTTTGAAGTTGTGATCAATCAAACACAAATTGGCAACTCTATGACGTATCATGCGAGCTCAACTTCCATTTGCTCAGTACTAAAAAAATCTAAAATTTTCATTTTCCCTCAAGAAAAATTTCAACCATACATGCACCCTAAATATAATAATTGCAAATATGTTTCTATACTCCCCCTGCAAGGAACAAATATATATTCCGTCACCAATAACGAAGAAAACATGATTTTATGGAATATTATGCACAAAGCAAATGAAGGAGAGCTTGTATAATAAGTCACAGAGTTGCCAATTTGTATTTGATTGATCACAACTTCAATAATTCATAACTTTCTTATTTTCATTCAGAATTTGCTCACACTTTCACTCACCTGATTTTCTTATTATTCTGCCTCTATCGAAACAAACTTATTTCGGGGGTGGACTTTCCCTTTAATGCTCATCTGATTATTTAGGCTGAAGATTAGGTTTTATGGACTGGTAACGGAGCATTATTTTGTTATTTACCCGTTCATGATGATCATCAACATATTACGATCTGGCTCAGTCACTTTTGATTCAGGGCGATGAGAAGTTTTGATATACCAAAGTGAATGTAAGAACAGACCATCTGTTCCATTAATGGTGCCTTACCCAAAACACATCTGTAATTTCAACTATCAACTATACGCTAAAGGTTTTTAAGTTGGCAAAGTGGTGATGTTCAAAACCACCGTATTATAGAGTCTTTACAAACATCATATCCTGAAATAGTTAAATGTGCATGGATACGTATTTTTTTATTTTTTCAGAGATCTTCTCCAGATAGATGCCGAGACACACGACTGCATGACTGATGACGTCAGTGATACTTCAAGGTTCCGCCTCGTCGTTGATCAGATGGACAACCTCTTCTCCAGGATGTTCAAAGCGCACCCAGATCGGGTGATATTTATCCGTGATGGGAAGATCGTGTACTTCGGTAAAAACATCATGAATCAGATGCAGGAACCTTCACGCCTGATGACCCACGAAGCACGTGAATGGTTGGAAGCGAACGTTGGGCCAGCTTAGAAGCAGTAATATCATTGTCGTACACACTTTAAACTCTAATCAGGTCTTAGCTCCGATTTAATCGTCCTATGAACATTTTTATAAGATGTAGTATTTAAGTTCTTTTCTTGTTTATGGATACTGAATTTCAACCAAATTCAACTTATGAAATCAACCACAAGAGTTTTTGCACACTTTAAAAGCGTCAATACTACTGGGCCAGAAGGGATTAGACCACACAGGGAGATCACTGACAGGTGGCTATCTCGTTAAGTCAGCTCTAACATAAGAAAAAGAGGATCATGGGGGACCAACAGGCACCGATTGGGGAAGCTTTCTATAGAGGGAGCAAGTAACTACAAGTAGGACAGTGGGGCTTTAATATAGGTACCAACAGTGCCAGTGGAAATCTATTTTTTTTATAGCATGGATGCCCATGTAGTGAATTTTTAAACATTCATACCGTCACATAATGTCCAATTTGATGCAAACTCTAATAAGGCCCTAAACGGAGTCTTGCCTACAAAACAAAATATGCCATTGCAGAATTGATGTTATGTTTTCAACCAAATATAATGCCTTTAACCAAAATATAACAGATTTTAGGCCTACTCATCATCGGGCGATATCAAATTTTTGTCTACCTCATAAGTACCCAATTGATAATGACTGTTTAACTTCCTTCTTCTTATCTTTCTGTCTTTCTTTCTTTCTGTCTTTCTTTCTTTCTTTCTATTTTTTTCTAACTTTCTATCTTCCTTTCTTCTTTTTTTTCTTTTTTTTTCTTCTTGTTTTTGGGGGTACTTTACCTGCTTTGCCGTATTGTTGTAATTATATATCATCACAGAATATCGCCACAAACTTAAACGGATGCACGGAATTGGCGGTATATGGCTCTGTTAAAAGGGTGTGAGGTTATTTCATAATTAGGTGACATAACAATAACAAGAATTGGGAAAAGCTTGATAATAATGACACACTACATATTTCAAAAACTGTTATTAGTCTTTCTTATGAAGAATCTTTTCATTTTTAAATATAAGAAAAGTATAAATATGTCGGCAGAAGTGTACAAAAAGCGGATATTGTTTCATATTGCTTGACATGAACAAAGCTAATGAAGTTTCCAGAGAAAATGTAAACTTTGGGAACAGATATAAACATTTGTCATGGTCAATATATCATATGCAATGATGTCCTCTTTTTTTGTATATTTTATAAAACAAATTTATAGAAATATATAAACATCTTAGACTGATGATTCTTTCATTTCATGTCTAAAACATTACTAAGTGAATGTATTATGTTAATTCTCACTTTTAGGGAGAGGCGTGCTTTGGCGTCTGCAGTTTCATGATTTCTAAACAAAATTAATTGCCGAATTATTTGCAACTTGTATCAACGTGATATACAGATCTGATCAGGAAAGAAGTGTCTATTGAAAAGAAGAGTAATTCGATGTGTGAGGGAGAGCAACGGAGGATCGAAAGGAAAGAGATAGAAAGAAACAGAGAGAGGGAGAGAGAGAGAGATAGAGAGAGAGAGAGAGAGAGAGAGATGTATATAATCGTGAGAGGGGCAGGGGAAAAAGGATATCCTTAGTAGTAAAATGAATCACCCCATATAAAGATGCAGTTTGTTGATGACCTGACAAAGAATGATGGAACAATGCAAGATGCTGACAACATATACAGTTCTGAGCCAGATAATTAAGTGGTGGCCGGCACATAATTCCTCTTAAATTTTAATTCACATGGTGGGACTAATGCGCTAAATCAATGAGCCTGCACCCCCAATTATGGTTATACGCCATCAACGATAGGAAAGCGACTTGTACGAAGTGCAAGGGCCTTATCCGATGAAAAGACAATTTTTTACCAAAAGAAACTTGAATTTGACTTCAGTAACTGTTTTCTCTATCTGTATTATTTTTAATAATGACGTTTAATTGCTCCTCTTCTCGCCGATAGTGTTGATATCACGATAATGTCTAGCTATAGAGTATACCGAAGTGTGACGTCATATTAGCCGATTTGTCAAGGTTGCTGGTTCCAAACAACTTTAAAGGCGTCGTGATCACAATATAACAGCGCCAAACATTGAATTTTCCCCTCCAGCCCGTTGCTTTGAATGATGTCGCAGTGAGCCTTGTGCGAGGGTTCTGATGTTTGGAACCAGTAACCTGAACGACGAGCGAATATAATTATATATGACGTTCGCACTTCGGTACTCTCATTGGGGTTTCAGTCATGTAGAAATACTGTAGGCATGCGTGACCCCAGGTTTTCCAGACAACTCCCAAACGAGGATTTCTTCTGAATCCAAAATACACCCTATAAATGAGGATTTCGCGTGGTTTTTCCCCCCGAATTCAATTTGAAACGGGTATTTCAAAAAGTGTACTCAGAGACCAGAGACACTGATCTCCGTAGTTGGCGGAGAACGTTGTAACTGTCTTGTCGATGGTTTGAGAAACGCGCCCCAGTTTCGAAATTCTGAACCTTCGGAAATACGAACCCTTTTTAGTTTACGGAAATACGAACCCGCAATCATTTTTCGAAATTAAGAGCCCAGCTATTAAACAAATCTGAATTATGAACCTTCCAAAAAAAAGAACTTCCGAAATCATACATTTTTCGGAATAACAAACCTTCGGAATTATAACCCTTCGGAAAAAACAAACGACTTGGAAAAACGGCAAGTCACCGATTAGCCTCTTGAATAATAATCGTACTCTTTGCCATTGCCACCGATTGTTGAGTTAAAGCGGAAGGAAATGAATCTTCCACTGGTCAAATTGGTCGTAAATCAGTGATTCTCTAAAACCTCAGTACGACAAATGTATCGTGTTGACCTGCTTAATAGAAGGGTCAGTCTTTAAAAGGGTCAGTCTGATGAATTAGGAAGAAAGAGAAGAAAAGAAGTTAGGTCAAAGTTGGATTTGTTGTTGTTGTTATTCAATTAATATTCGATTATGCGCAGTGGCGTATCCAAACCTAGGCCTCAGGAGAGGCAAAACTTTTCAAGTTACTGTGATCAATGTACTTTTAGTAAGTATGTCCCTTGTTTGGATTACAGGGGGGGGGGGGGTCACTCAAGATGACTTATTAATTTTGAGGAAGACAAATTTAATACGACGTTTGAAATCATGTATAGACTTCGTGCATTTCTTGACTTTAATACAGTGATTCGTATTATGGTTGTTACGCTGCATTTCTTTTTTGCGGTCGGAAATCAGTCTCGAAGGGCAGATGTCACCTTGCCCCTTTTTAAATACGCTAGTGATATACGTCACTGTGGAAATGTTCATGCATTATGGTGCACGAAGAAAAAGTGAAAAAGAATGTGAAAAGCTAGGTTTATAGCCGTATGGTCTACACCCAGACCGTCTACTACCCACAAGGTCTTTATACTTATCATTTTGTCTGATGCTCCGATTCGTTGAAACTAGACATTGCTCATTTTAAAGATCTCAAAAGGGCACACTTATCATATTTGAAAGGGGCAATTATCAGAAACGAAAAGAGGCACATGTCAAATTAAAAGAGGCACCTTTCAGAGGTTAAAAGGGGCGTTTTTTACAAGAAAGGGGAAGGGGGCACGTATTACGAAAAGAAAAAGGGCACTTGTTAGAGTAAAAGGGGCAACAATCAGATTTGAATAGGGGCATTTATCAAAGGTGAAAAGGGGCCCTTATGAGAAGGGGAGGGGGCACTTATTAGAAAGAAAAAGGGGGCTTATCTGAAGTTACAATGGGCAATTTTCTTTTTACGTAAAAAGGGGCACTGTTGGAGTACTTGAAAAAGTGGGGAGATGGCACTGTGCCCCCCCCCCTCCCACCCTTCGGAAGCGCCGCCTTTTTAAAGTGTCACATTATGGTCAACTCAAAAAGTCTCCCCCCCCCCCAATTACGAACTACCACAGGCTTCTTCCGGCATATATTATTTGTCGTTATACTCGATATGTACTAACGGGTGACCCGGCCCGTGATGTACACTAGGATCAGTGATTATAAACTTTCCCATCAAAGGAAGTTTTGCGTCTTAACTTTATCCGAGCAGGAACAATCGTGGACAATAATGGCATTTCGAAGAAAGAAATATTATGATTACTCCAGCCAAGTTCTTGTAATAACACTCACTTTCTGTCACTTTCCTGTCAAATATTGGTGTGAATGAGAGGAAAGCCTTGACTAAACGAAGTAAACAATGATGTCGTTAAAACTAATGATCAAGTTACTTCTACTATCCCAAAGCATCTGCTCTTCCTCTTTCCTTTGTAGTATCCGATGGTTATTAATGCGAAAAGAAAGTCTTAAAGTAGCTGTGTGAAGATTTAAAAAACTAACTTTATTTTCATTATTGCAAAGGTGAAACTTTGATTCGACAATTTTATCAGAATTCAATGCTGGAAACATTCGAAGTGATGATTACTATCAAATACAAAAACGCTTAAATAAAGCCCCGACGTAGCACCTAAAGAGCTCTCATGTGGTTCCACACATCTCAGCAGTGTTCGGAGAGCTCTTCAAGTGCTATGCCGGGGCTATACCGGGGCTTTATCATAGCAGGAACCATCGTGGACAATAATGGCATTTCGAGGAAAGAAATATTATGATTACTCCAGCCAAATTCTTGTAATAACACTCACTTTCTGTCACCTTCCTGCCAAACACTGGTGTGAATGAGAGGAAAGCCTTGACTAAACGAAGTCAACAATGATGTCGTTAAAACTAATGCTCAAGTTACTTCTACTATCCCAAAGCATCTGCTCTTCCTCTTTCCTTCTTATTTTCCGATGGTTATTAATGCGAGAAAAAAGGTCTTAGAGGTCTGGAAAAATCCGAATTTGAAACTGCGCCTCGAGTTGATATCAGTTTGATAAAGCAAATAATGTTTCTTTAATCCTTTTAAATGTTAAAATTTGCTTTATGTTTCAAGGCTTTATTGTTTGATAGTTGAGTTCTTGTTTCAGACCGCAAATGCATTCAAAGTGCAAGGTTATTGCTCGTATTCTTATTTATGACATGTCTAGTGCCCTTTTACGACCTAAAATAGCTATGAAGGTAATTTTAGACCCCAAAATGTGTGAAATT